GAGGACGAGAAGGAGATGGTGGAGGCCACGGTGGAGGTGAGGCGTCGGCCAGCCAGGTGGCGGGGGGGAAGGGGTCCCGCGCCCGCAGGCCGGGGTCAGAAAGGAGCTGGCGGCGGACGAGCGGATCCAGAAGTTGGCGCGGGACACGCTGGCCTTCAAGGAGTAGGCGGCCTGCAGGCTGGCTGCGGCAGCCCGCGGCCCTCGGCCATCTCCCCCGGGGCCCCCTCATCGGCGAGCGAACAACACGCGCCGATACCCCGCCGTACACTACGATTACTACTACTACTACTACTACTACTACTACTACTACTACTACTACGACTACTACTACTACTACTACTACTACTGCTACTACTACTACTACTACTACTACTACTACTACTACTACTACTACTACTGAGTCATTACCGTACCGTATACCGTATACCGTATACCGTATACCGTATACCGTATACCGTATACCGTATACTATACCCGTGTACACCGTATAACCGTATACCCGTATACCGTATACCGTATACCGTATACCCCTATACACCGTATACCGTATACCGTACCCTGGACCCCGTATGTACACCATACCGTATACCGTATACGGTATACCATATACAATATGACGTATATTTATACCGTAAACCGTACACCGTACACCGTATCCGTATATTCATAATTTATAACTATACACCGTTACCGTATACCCGTTACACAATTATAAAGCCGCGCAGCGTCCGCACAACCTAAGCCTATGCCTAATATATCGTATTTCGTATATCATATCGTATACCGTCTATACCGTATAATACAGTCTAAGACAGTATAATATCGTATATACCCGTATACCGTATATACCGTATGTATACCGTATACCGTATACCGTATACCCTACCGTATGCACCGTAAAATACCCGTATACACCCATGGCCCATGACCCATGGCCCATGGGAGGGTCGGTGGGAGGAGGATTGGCTATGGACGATATGGGCGCGGGTTGTCGGACCCGGGGAAGCTCCCGTTCGAATAGGGACCCCCATCCGACAGCGCGCACCCATAGCCCCCTCCGCCCCCCTATGGGTACGACGGTGTGGGCCTGGGGTATTAGTGGGGGAGTGTTGTTCGCTCGTCACTCATGTCGGGGAAACGTGAGACTCGGGTGCGCCAGAAATCGGTTTGGCCAGCGCTTTTTGACGAGCGCTCCCCAGATTTTGACGGTCCAATGTTCGTGGGATATCTGCGGCGAGGGATCGCGTCTTTATTCAGACTGGGTCTCGTCATTTTCACGGTGGCCCCGTCAGGCCAACCCGAGTCCCCCGAGCCCGAATCGCACGTCGCCCCGATCCCCGATCATGGCCCGTGGGCCAGGCGCGCTGGCCGACGCGAGGGGGGCCAGTGATTCGGGCCCAAGTGGGAGGGGGGGGGAGGGGAAGAAGGAGCAGGAGGGGGAAGGTTGAGAAGGAGGGGGCTACCCTCCTCCGTCCTCCTCTTCCTTCTGTTCTCTGCTCGCCGCTCTGTCCTCGCTCCCCCGTCCTCTTTTTTCTCGGCCCCTCCTCCCGCCTCCTACTTCGGACGCCAACCGCGTCAGTGGCCGTGCCGCCGTGCCGGGCCGGGCCCTTCCTGTCCTTCTATTGCGCCTCCTCCTCTTCCTCGCCCTCCTGCCCCTCCTCCTCCCACCCGCGCCCGTCTTCCCCCTCGCGCCCACTCGCTGATCCTCTCGCCCGTCCCGTCCTCCTCATCCCTCCGTTTCCTACCCGTCTGCTGCCTTCTCCTCCTCCTCTTCCCCCTCCTCCTTCTCCTCCTCGTCTCTCCTCCTGCTCATCCTCTTGCTCTGTCCTCCAGCCCTTCCAGCCCCCTTGCCCCTCCTCCTCCTCTTCCTCCTCCTCCTCCTCCTCATCATCATCATCATCGCCATCCTCCTCCTCCTCCTCCTCCTCCTCCTCATCATCATCATCATCATCATCGTCGTCGTCGTCGTCATCATCATCAGCATCAGCATCAGCATCAGCATCATTATAATCATCATCCTCATCCTCCCCCTCCTCCCTCCCGTCCCCCTCCTCATCCAGTCCCCCTTCCTTCTCGCTCGGAATGCTTCGGCAGCAGTCTGGAGACCCGGCCCGCCGCGGTGGGTCATGCGCGGCACGCGTCGGACTGTCGAGCTGGCGGCCAGCCGTGCTCGACGCGTCGAATGGATGAGGGGAAGGAGGACGAGGAGGACGAGGAGGAGGAGGAGGAGGAGGAGGAAGAGGAGGGGAGAGAGGGGGAGGCGAGGAGGAGGAGGAAGAGGAGGAGGAGGAGGACGACGACGACGAGGAGGAGGAGGAAGAGGAGGAGGGAGGATGAGGATGAGGATGAGGAGGAGGAAGAGGAGGAAGAGGAGGAGGAGGAATAGGAGGAGGAGGAGGAGGAGGAGGACGAGGAGGAGGGGTTCTGCATGCTGCTGCATGCTGCATGTTGCACCGTTGCAACGCAACAGTTTGGGGACCGCCATCGCAAAAGCTCGGATCCTCCTCGTCCTCCTCGTCCTCCTCCAATTTCTCCTCCCGGCCGGCTCCTCCCCCTACCCGTGCCGGCGCCCTCTTGACCACTTCGAGCTGGTCGAGCAGGAACGCCCCGCGGCGTGCCTCCGCCTTGCCCCCGTGCCGGCGCCCTTTCGACCGCTTCAAGCTGGTCGAGCAGGAACGCCCAGCGGCGTGCCTCCGAGCGTGCCTTGCCGCCGCTGCCGCTGCCGCTGCCCTGCCGCTGCCCTGCCGCTGCCGAGGGTCGGGGTCGTCGGTGTCCGGCGGGGCTCGAAGCGCCGTGGCGGCGGCGGCGTCGGGGCGCGGCTGCAGGTCAAGCGTCGGGGTCGGCGTCGGGCGGGGCGTCGGGTAATTCGCCAGCTGCGTCGTGGGCGTCGGGCTGCGTCGGCGTTGGGTGGCGCGTGGCGCGTTGCTTCGGGCGGTTCGGGGTCGGCGTGGGCGTCGGGTTGCGTCGGGTTTATATATTATTATAAAAAGTATGTACATGTAAAATCGATTATCAGTCATAGTCTTCTGTATGTGTTATAATATTAATAACACTATATATAATAATTATGTTATGTATACAAGATATTATATACAGTACGTGTGTGGTAAGTGCATGTGCGTGGCATGGTCCAAAGGGGGGAGTTGATGGGGGGCCAGGGGGATGGGGGGGAACAAGGAGAGGGGCGGGGGGGGGGGGGACGAGGGGGGGAATCGAGGGAAGGCGACCAAAAAAAAGAGAGGACGAAGGAATAGGACGCCGAGGGTCCGCCTATGCCTGCTAGGTGGCGCTTAGTTGTCTTGCGTCGAGAATGTGAAGGCGAAAGCCGGAAACCGTCCTGGCCAGATTTTCCGACAGGAGGCCCAGTTGTGGCGCAAAATAGTGAAAGAAACAGTGAACGAGGAAGATAGGGCCCGAAAGAGGACCGATAGTGCCGAGAAAGGAGGAGGAGGGGCGACGACGAGGAAAAATTGGAGCCCGAAGAAACGGTAGAGGGAACCAAACTACCGTATATAACGATGTGGGGTCCTAGATCTATTTGTAGAACCAGAGGACCCGTCCAAATACCTCCTTCCTAGTAATGAGTCAGTTCTAGAGGAGGTGCAAGCGGCGCATCATAGCGTATACCTTGTTCAGAAAGGGAGCCAGCTGGCGCGCGTGCCACGAGGTCTCAAGGTCGTTCGGGGCTGGAATGTCGGCGCCGCACGCCTTAACAAAGTCCCTCCACTTGTCGTCCAGCGTGGGGTGGTAGTCCCGCAGGTAAGCAACCAGGGTATGGTGGGCCTCCTTCAGTTTGTTGCGACGTCCGTGCTTGGGCTCGCCCCCCTCGTCGTAGGCTAACGCTGAGACGGCCCTGCGGCTTAGCCTTGGGGCAGCTGGCGGAGGTAGGTCTGGGAGGAGGGCCAGGACCTCGGGGACCGTGCGCCTGAGCGGGCCGTTCTGCGACCCGCCGCTGTTGCTCACTCCCCCTCCCCACGGTGGGCCCTCTGGGAAGTTGCTGCGGGCGCAGGGGTCGTGCGCGAAGCGTCAAGAATTTCAAGCGAGAATCGAAGCTCGAAAGAACGGACGAGCCACCTCAACGGACGTCAGTGAGGGCCTTAAGACCAGGTGGGTGAGGGCCTTAAGACCAGGTGGATGAGACCATGATAGGACCCCTGGCCATACAATTCGAATCCACCCAGCGCAATGGTCACGCGTGAAGTTGACGACGGCGCGTAGGATGATAGCGGTGATGGTTGCGATGATGCGCACTCAATACACTGCAATGCGAACCGCAGACATGTAACGCAAAGCAAAGCAAAACAACTCGAACGAAACGCGGGGCCCAAACAACCACAACAACAACAAACAACGGCGCGCCCTGGCAGCCCCGCGGCTTCGCTTTGCGTGGAGAAGTGCGTGGAGCTGGTACATCTGGATAGAACTTGTCATAGAACTGGTCAATTTGAAATCGGGTCAGGCATAGAACAGGTCGTTTCAGATAAAGAAACTTTCTTTCTGGAATATCGACCAGTTCTATGCGGACTCTATTTTCTAATTTAATGGACTCAATAGATAACCAATTATATGACCAGTTCCGCAACGAAGCAAACCCAAAATAACAAAACAACGAAACTGTTCGTACCCAGACGAAGCGCAAGATTCCCGTGGGGTCCTCGCATATGGCCTCGTGACATCTGCTGCTCGTTCTCCTCCCCAGTCCCCATAACCCCAAGACCCTCTCCTTCTCAGGTGGGCCGAAGAGGTGGGGCGCTGACGCATCATGGCGTCTCCGACCATCTGAAGGAAACGCTAGAGGGGGGCCCGGCCCAAGGGTAGAGAAACGGCAAGCTGGAATCGGCAAATTACATCGCCGATACATCGGCGAGAAGCCACCCGCCAGGGAGTCCGCAAAGGCGGGGTGGGCTATCCAGCCTCCACTGGCGACCAGGTGTCGAGGCGCCTCCCTTTGAGCACATCCCAACCTCCCTGGCGTAGCCCCCGACCCCCCCCCCACGGGCCTGCAGTGCCGCGAACTCGTCCTGGAAGCACATGGGCTTGCCGAAGAACGGGAAGGGGGGGACCTCCTCGGAGGGCCGGGCAGAGACAAGCGAGGCCGGCACGGGCACAAAAGCGGCGAGGTATGCTCGAGCGGGGGCGGGGGTGGGGGCCGGGGAGAAGGGCCGACGACGACGACGACGACGACGAGGCCGACGACGACGACGAGGCCGACGACGACGACGGGGCCGACGACGACGGCGAGGTAAGAAGGGAGCGGTAGGGAGGGAAGGGGAGGGAGGGTTCTGCGGCAACTCATGGGAGCCACCCATCCATCATGCTCTGGCTCTTGAGCATCAGCGCTGATCGACGCAAAATCGATCGAGTACCAAACGCGCATCGACGCTAGTGCAACCTAAAGACGGACTTGCGATGGTATACAAGGCTCCCATGAATTCCGATCGAAGGAGGGGAGGTGGCGGACTCCAAGGAGGCGCAGAAAAGGGGAGGGGGGAAGCGAGGGAGCGGGAAGGTGGGCGCGCGGAGGGAGCAAGGGGTCATGAAATGGGCGATGGCGAGGAGATATAAAAAAGGGGAGGGTGTGAGGGGCAGGGAGGAAAAGAGGGAATGAGAAGGGGGGAGTGAATTATTGGGGGGAATTGGAAGGGGAACAAGGGAATGAACAGAAGTGACGGGAGGGGCGAAACCCCCGCGTCCAGTGTTTCGACCGAGTCCCCATGTCCAGATTTGTTGTTCGTATCGTCGCGTCCACTGTTCCCCAAACGTCGTTTGTACTTTCTGAGTGTTTCTTCACTTCTAAGGAGCTGGGCCTATCTGGCGGCTATGTTGTCACCGTCGCCGCCCCGTCGCCGCCGCGTCGCAGCCCGTCGTCTGGGCGTGTCGAACGGTCTGGCGGCTATGTTGTCGACGTCTCCGCCCCGCCTCCGCCTCGTCGCCGCCCTTCGCCTCGGCCTGGCTGGCGGTCTGGCGGCTGTGTTGTCGCCGCCCCGCCGCCGCCTCGTCGCCGCCACGTCGCTGCCCCACACACATTGCGCAACATAGATTGCACCACGTCGGATCTCCTTTTCTGCTTTTTGCGGACAAAGCAGACTCCACCACCTTCCCGAAGGTGTATTTAAGCGTCCACCCTGGGGATGTGCAATTTGCATGGAGGTTACGCCCAACCGTTCCTTCTAACTACCTAGTCGTACTATCCCAAGCCAACCAGTATCGACCCCCCCACCCCTGGCAACAAAAACACGATGCGCGGACAATCGTTCACCTTAAAACACGAGTTTTCGAAAACCCGCCCTGCCAATGATGGGACGGAGTGCACACGCGCGCGTCTTCGCGCGCGCATGCCAGATTCCCCCCGAGAAAACCTAAAAAAAACGCAACGGTTTCAACATCGAGTGCCCCGCTACCATCTAAAGGGCACATGGGTTTGCAGCGCGACGATTCAAAGATGGTTTGCGCGAGCGCTCTTCCGAATTCTCAGGAAGACAATTGTTTTCAACATGTCCACCAAAAACGACCAAACGTGCGTTTCGCGCGCATGTCGAAATCCGCCGGCCCCCTTGTGGGGCCACCAGGCTGTAGGAGCGGGGTTCGCAGCCTCCTGTACCAGTTGTAGCTTGTAGTTTCCAGTGTTACAGTTCTGCTTCTTGCTGGTTACTGTAACTAGTTGATTGTTCTCCTTCTTGCTGGTTACTGTAACTAGTTGATTGACCGCGCGAGGGTGGGGAGGCCCAAATCGGCTTTTTAGCGTCCCCTGGGCGCGTTGTCTGAATTGCTGGGTGGCTCGAAATCGCCACCCCTCACGCAGATCCGCGGGGTCAGGGTCCAAAAACACAGGGGATGTTTCTGAAATTCGGTGCCACCCCTCACGCAGATCCGCGGGGTCAGAGTCCAAAAACATAAGGGATTTGCCACATTTCTGAAATTCGGTGCCACCCCTCACGCAGATCCGCGGGGTCAGGGTCCAAAAACACAAGGGATTTGCCACATTTCTGAAATTCGGTGCCACCCCTCACGCAGATCCGCGGGGTCAGGGTCCAAAAACACAAGGGATTTGCCACATTTCTGAAATTCGGTGCCACCCCTCACGCAGATCCGCGGGGTCAGGGTCCAAAAACACATGGGATTTGCCACATTTCTGAAATTCGGTGCCACCCCTCACGCAGATCCGCGGGGTCAGGGTCAGGGATTTGCCACATTTCTGAAATTCGGTGCCACCCTTCACGCACATCCATCGCAAGGCGTGGTAACCCAAACTGCGAGAACTCCCTCGGCCCTTTAATCGCAAGGTGTGGTAACCAAGCCCGTAAACCATACACGTCTTACCAATCGCCAGGTGTGGTAACCCCTCTTGTGATCAGTTGGTTTTGCTGATTGCGAATCGGCTTCGCATGAAGTTTCGATACTGCTTCACGACAGCGCCAAGGCCTCATGACTTAGCTCTTCCATGGCCCATTCTCCGAGAGAGGGGGCCGGCGGCAGGGGGCGAAGCCCTTACGGATAATGCGAATGCCAATGCGCGCGTGCTCGGGGGAGGCTGGGTGGTACAACCCCTTTCAAATAAACCCATTCGGGCCACTCGTGCCCGTCGGCCGCGCGCGCATGTCGAAATCCTATTGCTCGCAGCCTTCAGCACCGAAGCGTGGACACCTTCATCGTCATCGGCATGATCAGCATCAGCGCCGTCATGGGCCGTGCCGTCGCCATCGTCGTCGTAGTCACAAGCATCGCTGCCAACATCACCACGTTTGCCGATGTCGACGTCGCCATAATACCGCACCCGCCCGGATCACCGACTCGCACTGAAGTGGCCGCGCGTCAGCGCGGCCTGCGACACGCGGTGGGAATTCCCAAGCGGTCGGCGCCACCGTGGCCGCGTCAGTCACGCCAGAATGTCTGGCCGGTCTGCACGCGAGCCTGCGCGCTAGCGCGGCCGCAGCGATGCGCCAGCCAGCGCCAAGCAGACATTGCAATCGCCGCCGCATGGATTGAGCTGCCACAACAAGGAGGTTGCACAGCGCACGCGGCACAACCTATATTGCTCGACATGCATTGCAACCCATCTGTTGCTCCACATTCGTTGCACACTAGATAGTGCCCGCCGCATATTGCAGAACATAGCTTGCACCACATACATAGCACAACAGAGGGTGCATCATACAACTTATACTTAACACTGTAGAATATATACAGACGTTTATATTCCACGACGTAGATTGCACATCCTAGATCGCAACACGTAGATTGCATCACATGGATTGTCAACCACAGATTGCATAACATAATTTGCTAGAAACACCATGCTTGGGGTACACGGTGGCTAACCTGATTACGTCCGGCATTTCCAAATCGGCACCATTAAAGGATTGATTGTCCCTCCTCCCTCCTCCCCGCCCGCACTAGCCGACAACCAGGATCACCCTTGCTCTGCGCCGAAGCTTGCCGTGGCAGCGCCACCCACTACCACAGGGCAAACGTACCGGCGACGTGGAAGACCCACGACTGGGACGAGAGGGGGATGGAGAGGATGAGGTGGGGCACAGGGGAGCTGCAACCGGGAAGACAAACAACTTTCGGCGGACATCGAAGGTTTCTGGAGGGAGCCTGACGTTTCCAGGAGCTTTCGGAGGGGGGATCCAGAAAGGGAGGAGAAGGACCAGGAGAAGGATGGGGAGGTCGAGGGGGAGGAGGGGAACGACGACGACGAGGGGGAGAAGGGGAGAAGGAGAGCAGGTAAAAGCTAGGTGCGTTCGCGCCATATCTGACATTCTGCTACTCCCACCCAGCGCCGTCCACTGCGCTGATGTTTGTATACCAGCCGGCAGGTGTCATAGCAGACATAAAAACTCTTCAAATATCCCAGGCGCGTTATATCGCAGGAAGAGGACGAGGTGGCGGCGGATGAACAGGGGGATGAGCAGGAGGAAGAGGACGAGGAGGAGGGCGGAGGAGGACGATGAGCAACAACAGCAGCTGGAGGAGCGGGAGGAGCAGGAGGACCCGGGAACGGCAGAGGAAGGGCAAGGTGGGAGCAGAGCGACATAGACGAGGAATGACCCCGATCCACACCACGAACGTGGCCCGAGCGAGAGCTTTATCCTGAACGACAAGAGCAAACGACCTATCCTAAAATGAGGACACCGCTGCAACAAGAACGACTGTTTGAGAGACAGAAGCAGTTCCAAACGGAACCAGCCGTGCGAAACAGCTACTTCTGAGATCCGGCGTGCAGAAACTGCGCGGAGAGGGCGCGACTCTGCCAGGACGCAGACAGGGGTGAGATCAGCGTGGTGCTCAGACCGTGTAGCTTTGGAAAGGGGGAGGGAGCGAGGAGAAGTGGATGGGAAAAGCAAGGGGAAGGACGGGGAAGGCCAGAGTGAGCCGGGGACGCCCAGACCCGAGGAAATCCAGAGCGAAAGCCCCACATGGTAAAAAAAAAACACCGCATCATCAGCATCCCGGACGGCCCCCCATCGCTGCTCGTGTGGGCTCTTTGAACTCAACGCGCGCGGGCGCGAGGGCGTAGCCACATTTTGTTGGAAGAAGGCTCGACGCGCAGCCTTGCAGCGCATTGAACACATGTCGAAACATAAGATGTGCGCGGCGCTGAACGGCGCGGCGCCGGGGCGAGGGCCACCTGTTGAGGAACGAGCCGCTCTCCAGCTGCGTGGCCGCTGGATGCTTTGGACTACGGAGTCATCCGCAATGAGGGTGTCGCATGCGAAACACATGCGCGCCCTATCGACACCCATGGTGGTGAGATGGGGAGGAGTCATCTGTGCGAGAAGGAGGGTGGCAAGCAATTGCACTGATGCCGTTCGCCACTGCGGACCCAAACGGCGAGATATTGCACTGTGGAGGTGCAGCATATGTGGTGCACGCTACGCGGTGCAAGCCATGAGGTGTAAACACTGTGGCGTGAGCTGGAGGTGTAAGCTACGTGCTGTGAGCAAGATGTGGAACATACGCGGCGTAGGTGATCGGAAGCTCTGCGGTTGCACCCTGCGCAGTGCAAGATGTGCGGTGCAAGCTATGCTGTGCAGGCGTTGCTGTGCCCACGAAGTTGCCCACGAGCGGCTACGGGCGCGAACGTGGCGAAACCCCTGCGGACCCACTCCACGCCCGGGGCGGGGCTCCCACCAGCGGGCACTGGGCGACACCTCGGGCCCACCCAGCGCACGAGGCACCTCCGAGACGGCATGGGGCTCCCACGAGCGGGCAACCGGGGAAACCTCGGCGGCCCCACCCAACGCACGAGGCACCCACAGACCGAAAACCCCTGATCATCATTTCCTGGGGATAAGAGAGTTCTGGGTTCAGGGGGGGAGATGGTACATGTCTCGTCCTGGCAACTCGTATGTACGGCGGTAGGGATGGGATGTCTTCCTGAGGGGTGGGGCTCGGATGCCACGGCCCGTGCCACACGGTCTTGCTCTGGGATAGCTGAAACGGTGTGAATCCCATCGCCCTGCCACACGTTCGTTACGAAAGCTGCAAGGGTGAGAGCCCCATATCCATGCCATACGTTCGTGATAGTGTTGCTATAAGGAGATAGCAGCTTCGATTCGTACTTTCCCTGGCGATAATGAAGTTCCGCCTCGCCTTTCCCATGACCACCTCTGTCTTGGCCTAGGATAGTCAACTCTCAGGTCGTAAATGGGGATGCTTTCTTGACCGGAGCGGTCTGTTAAGCACCCCTAGGCGCCCACGAGGCGCCCACGAGACGACCAGGGGCACCCCTGGGCGGGTAGCAGGCAAAACCTCGGCGGTCCCACCCAGCGCACGAGGCGCCCACCAGGCGCCAACGGACGCCCACGGGAGGACGACGGGCGAAACCTCGGTGGCCCCATCCAGCGCACGAGGCGCTCACAAGGCGTCCACGGGCGGAAACGTGGCGAAGCCTTAGCGGACCTACAGAATCACCTAGACACCGAGGTCAGGACCCCTGAATGCAAGCACTGTCTGTTGAACAACTGTTACAATGAGAACGCGTCCGAGGCGGCCAGGGAAGCAGGGCCTCGCATGGCCGCCCCAGGACCCCCCCCCCGAGCCCAAACATGTTGGCGTTGAGAGCAACGTCAGGGGGGAATGGGATCAGAGAGAGATGCATCGATCCCCAATCGCCCATTGATCGCCGACATGGGCTCGATAGGCCAAACTTGCCCAAGAAAATGCGGATTCGCAACCGGCGCATCCCAGACTCAAGCTCGATGTTTCCCCGCTGAACTCATCCCCCAACGCTCGTAGCATGGGAGAAACCGGTCCCGTGGGAAACGGGGCGTGAACCCTGGCGCCTCCCCCCAGAAACAGCTATTCGGTCGGAGTCATTTTCTGACAGCCCCAAGGGCCGTGGAGGGCCCCGAGAGCCGGAAGAAAATGAAAAGCCGTAGGACCCGTTTCCCTCCGGACCCGTTCCCCCCACGGCGAACCATTGCCCCTCACCCCTCATGGGCGCCTCGCTCTTCTTGCCGAACGACCGTCCGCCTGCAGACCCGCCGCTGTTCGTGCTCCTGCCTCTCTCTTCCACCCGGCTGCCCGCCGAGAAAGGTTCGCGCCGAAGACGGGGCCCTCTCTGGAGGAAGAGAATGACGGCAGGTTCGTGTCGTGCCGACCCCGGCGTTGGTTTCTGACACCGCGGGGATCGTTCGGCCTTGAACGGTCGGCCCTTTCCGAAACGTCAGATCGTTCAACATCGACCGATTGTGGGTCGCTGGCGGCGTTCAACGGTGAACGCCGGCGGCGGGGTCGCCACCGGTCGGCACGACCCGAACCTACCGTATGCGGTAAGTATGGCGACCTCAGTCCCCCACTTCACGGGGTATTCGAATGGAGCTGCTTTAGGTGGAACAAAAATGGGGGGTCTACGGCGGGGGAGGTCCAACCTGGACAGGGGAGCGTCCCGACAGCCCCTCGGTGGAGGGGGGGCCACGCCATGGTTCCCCTCCTTTCTGAGCGGTCGAACTTGTCGGGCGGAGCCAAGAGGGGGGAGTCCAAGAGGGGGGGGGTGCAAATCATGACCGGCGGCATGTGCGCGGCCCAGCGGGGGGGGCAGGAACGTAATGAAATAAGAAAAGGCGCTACGAAATCTGGGGAAATATCATGGCCCACGCCATGATATCCACCCCCCCAGTCATCCCCCCCCTCTTTTCCGCGCTCGAAACTTGTCGGGCGGAGCCAGGGGTTGAGGCCGAGAGCTCGGCCGCTCCCGCCGCCGCCCCCACCCACTGACCGCCGAGGGAGGGCGCGCCGACGACGTGCTTTTTCTGTCCATGACGTGGACGCCCCAGCGGTCCGGCCCCCCTCCTCGGGGACTGCTGCTCATCCCGACTCCTTTGTGCCGACCAGCCACAACTGGGGGAGCTGTGGTCCTTACCCCCCTGGGGAAACCCATCGCATCGACGATCTCTCGAGAGCGGTGTCGAAATCGATGGGTCCCCCAGGGGGGTAAGGACCACAGCTCCCCCAGTTGTGGCTGGCCTGTTGTGGACGGTCCCCAGAACCCATGCGAGGGCCCCCGAAGGCCCGAAACGGTCAAGCAAGGCCAGCCGCAGTTGTCTCGTGGCCCGAAGCCGTCTGGGCGCGGAGGGCAAGAATGGCAGCAGGGCAGCACCCGGAGCAAAGACCACACCTTCGGGGGGGCCGGACGGCGATCGGGGCCGCCGAGCCCCGGGCCCGCAGCTTCTCCCTGTCCAGCTCCGACCGGACGGCCTGCACGTACGCAGGGAGGGGGGTGGGTGGGGGCGGAGGCAGGATCCCGCAGCATTGGATGGGGAAGCCGATGGGAGTCGGAGCCCAGAGGAGCAACAAGGCTGCATGACCATGCACCTTCGGACCGCCGCGCTGAGCTCTTGCATTGGCGCTGCATTGGCGCCTCCGGCGCCAATCCCTGGCGTGCCCCGGGCGCCAGGGAGAGGGGGAACGACGCCGCTCCAAGAAATCCGCGCGGAACTCCGACAATCTATGACTGTGCCGATCTCTTCTTTTCTTTCTCGAGAACCTGCGTCGAACCGGGCCGCATCGGCGATGGAGCCGGCTGTGCAAACATCGGGCCACACGGCATCGCTGCGAAGCCGGGAGCGAGCCCGATCGAGCCGGGTGGCCGGGGCCTCGGATCGGCCGAGGTGTCGAGAGACTCTCCAGGGGGGGGGATCCCATGGGGGGGCAGGAGGGGATCCCCCCCATGGGATCCCCTCCTGCCCCCCCACAGGATCCCCAAGGGATCCTATGGGATCCCCCCCCCTGGGATCCTATCCCCCCATGGGATCCCCCCCCATGAAGAGTCTTCCGAAGGTGGGCCCCGGGCGGCGGGAGCCCGCGAGAGCTCGGCCTCGAGCCGGCGCCGTGCGCACGGAGAGCCGGCAGCAGGCAGGGTGAGCGTGCCGCGTGCATGACGGCGGCGCAGGGCCTCCCGGTGGTCGGCTGTGCAAGCCTCCGGCTGCCGTCGGGAGGAGGGGGGCGAAAACTTCCCCTTTGTCCGATGAGCAGAGGGGGTACCTCTGACCCTGGCCATCGCTCGGACGTCCATTCCCTGTGTTTTTGCTCGTTTTTTCGTGCGTGGCTTTCTCGCCAAATGCCCAAGGATGCTCCTCGATGGTCCTCGCCGAAGGAAAAATGCACACGTCCCAGCGATGCCAAGGCCGTCAGGAGGGGGGAAAAACTGCCCCTCATCCGATACGCAGAGAGGGTACCCCTAACCCTTTGGGTGGGGACCTGAGTGAGGAGGCCCGAGAACATTAGGGAGATGGTGGAAGACTTCTCATCCCATCTCGTCCTACTTCGGTGGCAACTCATGGGAGCCTCCCATGCCATCTTGTCGGCTCTTGCGAATCGACGCTAATCGACGCAAGTCGACGCTAATCGACGCTGAATCGACCCTTACCGACGCTAGCCGACGCTAAATCGGCGCTACCTCATCGACTCCCAGACGCTGATCAACACTAGTCGACGCTAAAGACAGACTTGAGAAGGTGCACAAGGCTCCCATGCTTTGCTGCCAAACGTCCTCGCCTTCCCTCCAATTGGGCCCCGCTTCGCACGTGCTGCCCACTGCATTCCTTGCGAACCTCGGATCGCTCGGCCCCCGACCCGGCCCCCCTTCCCCAGCCCCCACCAACCTCGGAGGGGGGAGGCGGGCTAGGCGGGGAGGCGGGGAGGAAGTGAGGATGACGACGGCGATGAGGTGGACGAGGGGGAAGGAAGAAAGGCAGGAAGACGGGGACGAGGATAGCGTCGTGATGATGACGACAGCGAGGAGGGGGGACGAGGAGGAAGGGATAAGGACAGAGGACGGGGACGAGGATGTAGCGTGGAGGGGGACGAGTCGGGGAACCAGAGCGTGAAGGGGCACGGACAGAGGAAACCGAGCAGGGGAAAGGGGGAGGGGAGGAAGCCGAGGTCGTTCGAGGCTCGAGAACGAGGAAGGGGACGACAGAGAGGAGCAGGGTGATGATGATGATGATGATGATGATGATGATGATGAGGAGGAGGAGGAGGAGGAGGAGGAGGAGGAGGAGGAGGAGGAGCAGGAGGAGCAGGTGGAGCCATGCTGGGGCCGAGGCGGCGGCGGGCGCAGGCGTTGGCGAGGGGCCCCCCCGGCCCGTCCCCCGGGGCGGGCGCGGCCCCTCCGCGGCGGGCTCGCGAGCGCGGGAGCGCCACGTGGCGAGAGCGCTGCGGATGCCACGGCAGTGGGCACCCTCACAGACCCATCATTGAATTCAAGGTGTGCCTAAACTGTAGGAAAAAATGCTCCAGCACGAGTGAAACACGTTTTGTTTCGCATGTCTAGAACATGTTTCACACATGTGTTCAGACACCTGGAAATTGTTTGGCGAAGAAAGCGGGAATGCGAGGAGAGCCGCGCAGCACGGAACGATCAACTTTGGGGGTTGGGTGGGGCACCCGGGGCCCATCCGCACTTCTGGCCACGCCCGACGCTGGCCTCTCGGCGCGGCGCAGGTCCCTCCCGTGGTGAGCGAGAGGGGCCGGGGCAACGCTTCGTGAGTGTCGTGCGACCCGCCGTGATGCCGAGGGGCTGCTGCGAGCTGCCTTATCGAGCTAATGCACCTGGCCATCGCTCGGACGTCCATTCCCTGTGTTTTTGCTCGTTTTTTCGTGCGTGGCTTTCTCGCCAAATGATCAGGGACGCTCCCCGATGGTCCTCGCCGAAGGAAAAATGCACACGTCCGAGCGGCAGGAGGACGGCGGAAACCTGCCGTTCCTGGGCCCCGCCTGGGCCCGGGCCCGTTGCGGCGACGCCCAAGGCTACAGCGGCCATCGGCGAGGTGATGCACGGGGGGATCTTCTTCCATCGGGCGCTCGTGACGAAGCCATCACTTGCACGAAACCATCACGTTCTGCGCAGCCTCGTCTCTACCCGGCAGGCTCGAGATCTCCAGCATCCTGGCAATCACGATGGACTGGCTTCGTCCCCTCGGCCCGACGAGGGCTCTCGTGCCAGACCGGGAGGGCAGCGGAATGTGGCTTGATGTCAGCCAAGGCAGCACAATGGATGGACAGATGGCAGATCCCGCTCCCCTCTCAAGGAGCCTGGATGGAACCCGTGCGCACACGGTTGAGCGCAATCGTGATGCTCTTCGCCAACTTCTACGCCGCGTCGGGTCTCAACTGGGCGAGGAGGGCGTCATAGTTATTCCGCTCGAGATGGTCGTTGCAGGGAGAAGGAATCTTACAGGAACAGCTCGACCACAAGAAACCTTCCACAAGACACCCAGCCCTGACACCCCAGGAAGTCCATTGCCTTCTGGTGTGGGAGCGTCAAGCTTTCCATAGCAAAATCATCGAAGCCGAAGAAACCCAGGGCACCCTGGAGGCGAGCAAGGCGTTTCTTGGCATGGCTTCCCACTGTGATGTAGACGGGGCGTAAATCTTCCATGGGGCGAAGCACGAGGACTGCCAGGGCGGCCCAATGCCGCCAGAGGCATGTGCGCCCACAGGCAGGCGAAGACCAGCAGGCAGCCCCTGGCGCGCTCTCCGCGACTCCAAGGGGATCCGCGCGGAGCCCCCGCGGTGCACGTCTTCGCCGCTGTTGCTCCCTCGACGGACGGGGAGGGCGTCGCAGGCACTGCGCTATGCATGGCCGCTGCGAGGCGGAGGGAGCTGGAGGCCTGGGCGGCGGCGGCGCGGGGAGACGGGCAGTGCCCTGCGAGCGGACAGCGGATAGCCTGTCGCTCCGCTCCGCGGCTTCGCAAGGCTCGGCAAAGCTTAAGAATCCGAGGCTGGCTCCTTCAAGGAATTATTCTACACCATATTATATGAACTAACTTATGGTTCTGAACAGTTGTCTTAGATGGCACAAGAACTAATCTATCTCGGTCAGAATGTATGTGTCGCGCCGCCGAAGCGTGGTGGACCAGAGCCGGCGGAACGACGCGCGAAGCCAACGTTCCAGATCGAATTGTAAAAAACGTTTTCCCAACCAGTGGGGCACTAGAACGTCTATGCATCGAACTCACTCGCCGAGTTCATTGGCCCCCTGGCCGACCAAACGAAGTGGTGTATACGTCGAGCCCCTCAGAAACATGGCCCCGCGGAGATGCAGCTCTGACTGGAGGTCGGGGACCCGCGACACGCCGCGCCCTCTTCCTGTCTTCTCGTCGCTTGCAGAAGGCAGCCTGCACAAGATGGCATGCGGAAGGGATAGCGGCTGGGGTGGGTCGGGAGCTTCCGAGGAGGGAAATTGAGGATCATGTGCGCGCTGGGATAGCATGGAATCCCCAATTTCGTGGCACTCTTCTCCTTTGTCTCCTTTTGACCCGTGTACGCGCCACAGCTCGAGTCGGACCTGGGCCAGAAGAGCATCCCTCAAGAGCACGAGACCCTCCGCCAGCCAGAGGGCACGGAACCTCCGAGGGCACCCTTCCCAGGGTGCACGAGAACATCCAACAGACACGAGGAGCATCACAGGGCACCCTCCCCGAGCCGACCTCGATCTTCTACCCCGGCTTGACTGCACCTCAAGTCCGCCTCCGTGTCGCGGTTATCGTTATGTCGGGCGTGTCCCCCCACAGGGGGATTTTCGAGGAAAAATAAAAAAAACACCCCAAATAGTCAAAGAAAAATTTAAAAAATTGTCTGGGACTATGTTTGAGGTACTTTTTGAACTTTTTGCTGCATTTTTGAAGTATTCCTTATTCTTCCTCGAAAATCCCCCTGTAGGGGGACAGGCCCGACAGAAGGTTATCGCCCCCACGCCGCGGCGCCCAGCGCACCGCCGCCGGCGCCACTGGGGGGCGGGCGGGGCAGCGGGCGCCGCCTGCGAGCTGGAGGCGCGCAAAGGCTGAGGAGCGCACGCGCCAGGGGAAGGAACGAGGCGAGGGCGAGCGGGCAAGGAGCGAGAAGAGGGCAGACGAGTCCCGCCCAGCCTGTCCCAGGATGGCCAAGAGGCTCCCCTCTGCTGTGGCGGCGCGCACAAGGGAGTGGAGGGAGGGGGGGGAGGGCTTCTTAGAAGGAGGCTGCTTCTCAGAAGGCGCCAGCCTTACATCTACAGAGAAGGCCCGCGCCTTCTGAGAAGCAGGGGTGCTTCTAAGAAGCCCTCCCCCCTCCCCCCACCCCCCTCTGCGCGTGGCTGACCTGCGACGGAGTTGCTTGAGGCGATTATGAAAGGATGAGGAGGAGGACGAAGACAGGACAGGAAGGGTGCTATAGTCAACCCGTAAAATGAGGACGCGCGGTGGAGATCGTAGTAGCCCCTAGAAGCGACAGGGCAATTTCTTTACAGGTTCCGTTTTGCGGTTCTCGTTGCCGGTTCCGACTGCTAGTTTCGCAATTCCGTCGCCGCTTTGTTTTTGGTTCCGGTTCCGGTTCCCATCCCGGAGCCGCGTTTTGTTGCCGTTTCTGGTCGCCGTTTTTGTTACCGTTTCCATGTTCAAGAGACGCTTCTTCGAAAGCGGTGAAAAACGGCCCTGCCGTTTCCGGGGCCCACCAAGATGAGGATGCAGGGGCCTTGGACGGCCATGTCGACTCTCTGCGAACGGGGCGCGGCCAGCGAAAGCGGCCAAGGATGGGACGACGGGGAAGAATGCCAGGGTAGCCTTGGAGCGTGGCTCCCCCTGACTATGCGGGTTGACTGCAGTGCCGAGCGCCGTGCCCTAGCACGCAGACAGGAGGCGGAGGGGGACGGAGAGCAGGAGACCGGCCCCTGAGGCAACAGCCGGACGTGACTATGCAGGGCGTGAAAACGACCACAGCCACTGCTTTTCTTTTGCTGCCGCCTTCCAGCCCGCAGAAACAGAGCAGTGGTTGTGGTCATTTTCGTTGAGCTTGGCACCAGGGAAATGACCACAACCACTGCTTCTTTTTCGGCCGGCTGGAAGGCGGCGCAAACAAGAAGCAGTGGCTGTGGTCATCTTCCCGTCCCGCAGACTAGGGAACGGAATTCAAGGGTACTGATGCCGCCGCTCACCAGACCTCCCCTGGGATGCACTCTGACCGGAATTTCGAGGAGACTCCAGCCGTTGTGACGAGAGCTCTCCAGGACGAGCAGCGGTATCGGCACCCTTTGCCCTCCTCGGAGTTTCAAATAACGACCTCCCTCTCCGCCCCCTCTCCTCCCGTCCTCCCGGAAAGCGGGTGAAGCCCGCACCCTCGGCGCGCCTTGACTGTCAGGTCGGCCCTCACCGCGGCGGCGGAGACGGACGGCTTCAGCTCCGGAGGCGGGACCGGCTTCGGCTCCACGGGTGTGGCAGGCTTCGGCTCCTCCTGTCCGGGAGGGGGGGGGGGGGGCATCCTGCAACTGATGTTGCTCGTCCTCTTGATCCTCGTCCTCCCCCTCCACCTCCTCCTCCTCCTGCTCGTCATCACCACCACCATCACCCTCATCCTCATCCTCATCATCATCATTATCATCATCATCATCATCCTCATCATCCTCATCATCATCATTATCATCATCAGCATCATCATCATCATCATCGTCGTCATCGTCATCGTCATCGTCATTATCATCGTCGTCATCATCATCATCGTCGTCGTCGTCATCGTCATCGTCATCGTCATTGTCATCATCATCGTCGTCATCATCATTGTCGCCATCGTCATCGTCATCGTCGTCAACGTCACCATCATCATCATCACATAGTTATCGGAAATTGGGGGGTGAGACCGCAGTGGAACGGAGACACCCAACGGGGAAATCGTTTCATTTCGTTCGTGTTGTGCGTGCGGGCGAGGCGAAGCTGCGTGGGTGCGCGAGAGGAATGAACCCGCCGTTGCTAGGGCGAAGTCAAGACACATGATTCTCCCCCGCCCGCCCGTCCAGCGGTGGCTCGCGGTGTCCCGCCGTGTCCCGTGGTGTCCCGTGGTGGCCGCCGTTGCTAGGGCGAAGTCAAGACAAACGATTCTCCCCAGCCTGCCCGTCTGGCGGTGGCTCGCGGTTTCCCGCGGTGTCCCGTGGTGTCCTGTGGTGTCCGCCTTTGCTCTGGCGACGTCAAGACAAATGATTATCCCCCGCCCGCCCGTCCGTCCGTCCCGCCGTGTCCCGCGGTGTCCCGTTGAGTGAGACCGATAGAGATCGATACTGAGATCGATGTGGTGCCCCGAGGTGTCCCGTGGTGTCCCAAAACATGAGATCGATAGTGAGATCGACAGGTGTCCCGTTGAGTGAAATCGATCGTGAGATCGATGTGGTGTCCCAAGGTGTCCCGTGGTGTCCTGTGGTGTCCCGTTGAGTGAGATCGACAATGAGATTGATAATGAGACCGATACTGAGATCGAGAGGTGTCCCGCGGTGTCCCGTGGTGTCCCGTTGAGTGAGATCGATTGTGAGATCGATAATGGAATCGACAAGTGTCCCGTGGTGTCCCGTGGAGCCTGGTGGTCGATAGTAAGATCGATTGAATCAGATGTTGGTTCCCACCCCTCTCCTCCCCCCCACAATCTCCTAATGACCCGAAGGGTGGTCGTATAGGCAATGCGAAAACAAGTATTCACTGCATGGAGCTCCCCATATGTGCATCTATTAGCATGGACATGTCCGCCGTAAGCGTCTAGGCGCAGTAGTTTTCGAATCTAAGCGGGCTTGACTATTGACGGCGAATCAAATTGTGAACGGATTGGTATGTGAATGAGTCTCAATAGTCTTAGTGCGTCTCTGCGCATGAGCCTGGGGCCTTCTGGGGCCTCTTTAAACCTCAAACCTCCTGGGGCTTCCTGGGGCCTCCTGGAGCCTCCTGGGGCCTCCTGGGCTCTTCTGTGGCTTCCTGAGGCCTTCTGGGAACTCGCGTGGCCTCCTGGGGCCTCCAGGCGCATCGTGGAACCTCCTGGGGCCTCCTGGGGAGAATTCGTGCCCCAGGAGAGGCCCAAAATATAGGAACAGATGTAAGACACTTCAGATTGCAGCCCCTTATATATATATATATATATATATATATGAGCATGAGCATGAGCATGAGCAGCCCGCGCAGCGCGAGCCGATCCCGTTCGCCCCCTCCGCCGCTCCGCAGCGGCCGCGTCTTACTCCTGCGCGGCGTGCACGACCAGGGCGTGCGCACGAGGGCGCCTCGCGGCGCCGCGCCGCCCCAGGAGCCCGATGGCGGAGGGGCCCCCTGGCGCCAGGCCCGCCCCCACCCGCGGGCCAGCCCGTAGGGCCTAGGCGGGGCGCCAGCGGACGGCCTCCAGCATGCGCCGAAGGTCGTCGCTCGCCTCGGGGCGCCAATCGGCCACCCTCCGCAGGACGCCGTCCGCCGCGGCGACCGCGTCCTCGAGGGCAGCCGCCGCCCCCGCCGCCGCGTCCGAGGCAGCAGCTCCGCCGCCAGGCTCCGCCGCCGCCACCGTCGCGTCCGCCTGCCCCTCCGCCCCCGGGTCCCTCGCAAGTGCCAGCACCGTGCCCGCGGCCGCGCCGGCCGCGCCAGCGCCCTCCGCGTCCACGACCCACCGGCCCTCGCGCCCAGGGGCGTGTTCGGGCCTCCGCCTGCGCCTCCGCGGCCAGGCAGGGGCGGCAGCTCCTCCCACTCCAGCGGGATCCGCCGCCGCCGCACCCGAGGCGGCCCGACGAACGTCGTCCGCCCACTCGTCACCGAGGTCGTCCATGTCGTCGTCGGCGGTGGCCGCCGCTGCAGCCGCAACAGCAGCTGCACCAGCGGCAGCTCCAGCGGCCGCCCCAGCGGGCACCACCTCCACGACCATGTTGTTCTCCTCCTGGGCGGCCGCGCGCCGCGCAGCACGGCGCTGGCGGCGGCGGCGGCGCTTCGCGGCTCGCGCCGCAGGGTCAGCCCCAGCAGCACCAGCTCGGTCAGGAGGATCAGGGCGAGCAGCACCAGCAGCAGCAGCGGGCGGCGGCGGCACGGCGCCTTCGGCCCCGCGGCCCACCCCGAAAAGGGTGGCCGACACAGCCGACCGCGCCACAGCCGCGACCGTGCGCCGCGGCGCACTCGCAGAGACGGCCCCGCGGACCGCCGCCTCTACCAGGAGGGCGGCGTCGCGGGCCGACCAAGCCCCTCTAGGCGCCGCCATCCGCGCCACGGGCGAAGGGCCGCGCCGATAGGCTTTCGCCAGAGGCGGACCCTTGAGCCAGGACGCGGGGCGACGGCCGTGCGAACGCTTGAGCCAAAATGCAGATTGCAGCCACAGGCAAAGGGAAACCTATAGGAACACACGTAAAATACCAAGGACTCGTGCCCCAGGGGAGGCCCAATCTACAGGAGCATACGTAAAACACTTCGGAGCGGATACGCAGGAGAAGGACACTCTATAGAAACATCAATAACGCACCACTCCAGGGGAGGCCCAATCTACAAGAACAAATGTAAAACACCGGGGATTGGAACCACTTCTGTTGCCTTCTGATGCCTTCGGCTCCTGGGGCCTCGTGGGGGTTCCTGGTGCCTTCCCAGGGCCTCCCGGTGCCTCCTGGCGCTCCGTGCTGCCTCCTCCTGTGGCCTCCTGTTGCCTCCTGGGGCCTCCTGATGTTTCCTGGGGTCTCCTGGGGCCTCCTGGGGGCTCCTGGGGCCTCCTGGAGCCTCCTGTGGCTTCCTGTGGTATCCTGACACCTCCTGGTACCTCATGGGGCCTCCTGGAGCTTGCTGGAGCCTGCTGGAGCCTCCTGTGGCATCCTGAAGAGTATCCGTGCCCACGAGCCTAAACCGCCGAGACATCCTCCAAATCTGGCCCCCCTTGGGGGCGAAAATGAGCGCCTCGCTCGAGACATCCTCCAAATCTGCTCCGAACGCAGATGATGTTGGGTCTTGAAACAGGCAAGCCGCTCGAGACATCCCCACCATTCTGGTACGACCGGAGGAATGAGATATCCCCGGGCGGCTCCCCCTTGGGGGTGCCGAAACACGCGCCTCTCTCGAGACATTCTCTCAATATGCTCCGACAGCGGAGGATGTTGGGCCTTGAAACAGGCAAGCCGCTCGAGACATCCCTGCCATTTTAGCGCGAACGGGGGAATGAGATACCCCTTGGCGGCTCCCCCTTGGGGGTGCTGAAACCCCGCGCCTCGCTCAAGACATCCTCAGACTTTGTTCTGTCATCATCATCATCATCATCATCATCATCATCATCATCATCAGCATCAGCATCATCATCATGAGCATCATCATCATCATCACCATCACCATCACCATCATCGTCATCATCATTATCATCATCATCATCGTCCTCGTCCTCGTCCTCGTCATCATCATCATCGTCATCATCATCATCATCATCATCTGCATCTGCATCTTCATCGTCATCATCACTGCAATCATCATCATCGTCACCACCACCAGCATCATCATCAGCATCATCCTCAGCATCGCAGCATAACAACCCAGAACATAAATGTACATATCACACCATCCCATAGCATAGCATAACATCACATATCATCGCACACCCTGACATAACGTACATTATATACCATACCAAAGCATGCCATGCAATGACATAACATAACGTGGCATGTCATAACATGACATGACATACCATGCCATATCATACCATAACATAACATAGCATGTGGAGGAGGAGAAGGAGGAGGAGGAGAAGGAGGGAGGAACCTTCCGGCCCAAGAGGGCCCCAGGAGGCCCCGAGAGGCCCCCAAGAGGCCCCCAAGAGGCCCCCGAGAGGCCCCAGGAGGCTCCCAGGAGGCCCAAAGGAGGCCCCAAGAGGCCCCAGAAGCTCAAACATGTCTCCCAGACGCCCCCGAATGGCTTCTCAAAAGACCCCAAGAGGCCTCCCAACGAAGCATCTTGACAACGACCCTGTTTGGCCCAAAGAGCAACACAAGATGCCAACGAGAGGCTTCCTCCTCCGCCCCTTCCTCCTCCTCCTCCTCCTCCTCCTCCTCCTCCTCCTCCTCCTACTTATCTTCATCCTCCTCCTCTCCTTCTTATCCTCTCCTCCTCCTCCCCTCCCCTTTCCCATCCTCATCTTCCTCCTTCTCCTCGGCGGCGCCACAATGGCCCCAGGCCCACGGCAAAGCAGTAGCGATCATGCAACATGGGCCCGCGGAATGAGCGAAGACATTGAATCACATAGCATGTGGAGGAGGAGGAGGAGGAGGAGGAGGAGGGAGGAATCGGCGCGGTCGGAATTATAACAAGAACCACATCCTTTGGATATGGGGAATAATACTAAGCAACAGCATCATTAGCATCATCAGCATCAGCATCGCCATCATCATGATCGTCATCATCATCATCATCATCATCATCATCAGCATCATCATCATCATCAACACCATCACCAGCATCATCATCATCATCATCAGCATCAACACCAACATCAACAGCCCCTATCATCATATCATCATCATTATGATCATCATCAGCATCATCATCCGCATCATCATCATCATCCACCCACCAGCATCATCATCATCATCATCAGCATCAACACCAACATCAACAGCCCCTATCATCATATCATCATCATTATGATCATCATCAGCATCATCATCCGTATCATCATCACCACCCTCATCATCAGCAGCATCATCAACATCATCAACATCATCATCATCACCATCATCATCTTCAAACTCATCCTCATCCTCACCATCGTCGTCGTCGTCATCATCACCCCCCTCCTCCTCCAGATCACGACTCGTCATCATAACCATCATGTTCCTCCACGCCCTCGCCTTCCGCACCTCCGTTATCCTCCCTCTCATTGCCTCGTTCGCTCCTCCTGTTCGTTCCTCCTGATACACCACCCCACCTCATTGTCATCGTACTCGTCCTCTTCATTTCCTCAACCCCATCGTCAACCTCGCTGTTCTCGTCGTTGTCCTCCTCATCCTCGCCCTTGTCCTCCTCCTCCTCCTCCTCCTCCTCGTCCACCCCCCCCTGTATTCCGCAGGAGGGCTCGGAGGCCGGCCCACAGCCCGAAGAGGAAGCCCATGAGGCAGCGGGAGAGACGTCGAGAGGAGGGGAAGCAGGGCCGAGGCGGCAATTCCGAGGGAAGAGGGACGGAGGATGATGGGCGCGGGGAGAGTCGGCGGCGAGCCTGGGAGAGGGGGGGAGTGAGAAGGGGCGGGCCTTCCAAGAAGGCTCCGAAGGCCCCCGACCTTCTGAGAAGTGTTCGAAGCCTTCCCCGAAGACACAGGAAACCTTTCAGGTAGCCTTCCGGAAAGCTCGTGAGGAAGCGGGGGAGACGTAGAGACGCAGACGCAGGGCCGAGGCGGCGATTCGGAGGGACGCGGGGCGGAGGATGGGAAGGGACGCACCGGCGAAGGAGGAGAAGGGCAGCAGCTTGCCACCGCTCGAACGTCTGTACCCCGTGCATGTTTCGGCTTCGTGCGTTCTCTCGTTCTGCAGGGTGATCGACTCCTCTTTCTCCTCCTCCTCCTCCTCCTCCTCCTCTTCCTCCTCCAGGATGCTCCTCGATGGCCCTGGCCAAGAAGAAATGCACACGTCCGAGCGATGCCAAGACAAGGGCAAGATGATCCTCGCCGAGAAAAAGGTCCACGCCCAGGCCATGCCAAGGGCAGAGAAGGAGGAGGATAAGGACGAGGAGGAACGTGGGCGATGCATCGACGACGTCAACGTGAAGCAAATCGGGCTCCACATCGCGCCGCATCGGCGATGCATCGTCGATGCGGAGCGATCCTCCGACCACTTCTTCTCCGACCCCATAAGGGGGCCTGGAATGATGGGAAAGTCAGGAATGGCGAAAGAGGACGAGGGCAGAAGAGGAGGAGGATGAGGAGGAGGATGAGGAGGAGGACGAGCACAAGGAAGCGGGCTAGAGGAGGAGGATGATGATGGAGGAATGCAGGGTCCTGGGTGGCCTTCTTCTTGCTGCCTTTGGCCTTCGGCTCTGCTGGTACCTCCTCAGCAGGCGGCTCCTCCTCCGCGACGGGCTCAGGCGGCCCGTGGAAGGTGAAGGTGACGCCGTCCTCGATGGGCTCCCCTCCATTCCCCTCCATCCCCTCCATCTTGTCATTCCCCTCCATATCCCCCCCCCTTCCCGTTCATCATCAGCGAATGAGGGGGAGAAGTGACAAAGAGAAGGCCTTCTCAAAGGCGGCGGGACTTCTCAGAAACCCTCGCGTTTTCTGATAGGTGTTTTGTATATTCGGGAAAAGCATCGAAAACTTCTGAGAAGGCTGTGGGACTTCAGAGCCTTCTGAGAAGGCCCGCCCCTTCTCACTTCCCTCCAGGCTCGCCGCCGACATCCTCTCATTACCCTCCATGCCCCCCCCCCTCCTCCCCGATCAGCCCCGCAGGGCAACTTGAGGGCCTGTCCTGGCATGAGCGGGAAGCGCGTGAGATCGAAAGCCGTGGCAAGAGCATGCACCAACAGTGAGATTCATTGTATCATAGGCGCTCTTGACGAATGTCCGCATGGGGTTACGAAGTGGAGTCCACGACCCGTGCGCAAGTTCACACGCGGCGCTTACCTGGCGCACGTCATTGAGCGTGCCCGTGCCACCCTGCCTCCTCGCCTTTGGCGCAGTCCACTGCCCGTGAAAGTTTAGGCAACCCGTCAGCACCCTCGAACAAACACCACTCTGAACTAGCGTGGGTAGCAAACCCCTTCTGGTGCTGCCATCTTCGCCTGTTCGAGGGGGTACCCCGATGAATGCGCATTTGGAAACGACAGCGCCGTCTGGGAGCCCGCGAACCACTTGAGGAACAGCACACGTCCGCCGCACTTGAAGAGGCTTCAAGTGCAGCGGACGTTGTCGCACCACCGACGCCATCGCGCCCATCTTGATGCGTTCTCGTACTGCCAAGACCATTGGTTCCCACAAAGACTTGGGATGTTTCGAGCGAACCATTTGCCGCTTGCGTCAGAGCATTGCAACACCATTGCTTTTCAATGGGTCCGCCTTTTGAGCCATCTGGGGGGTCCTCCAGGAGCGCCCCAAAAAGATATCGCACAAGAGCTACTGAAACATCTCATTGCTTTGAGGATATATCAAGCGAAAGCTCTATTCTCGAGTTTCGCGAGCGATTTGAATATCTCCACAATGCCATTGGGTGACGATGTCTGCAGAGTGAGCGATAGTTTTTGTTTCAGTCGGACGTCTTAAACGAGACACCCCAACATCTCCAGTGCGTGGGGATGTCTGAAGCGAAATGGCGAAACTGAACTTTTGGAGAATCCGCCAGGCGTGAGTAATGGAGCGACACCGCGCCATCCCCCCCCCCCTCCACTGGACACCCCTCACTCGAAAAAGATATGTGTCCCCCTGCAGGTCGCTACCAAAGTGTGTCGCGCGACTCTTCGAGTCTGAACGCGCTTCCCGTAATCCGCCACCGTGCCTGGTGCACGCTGAAGCGTGGAAGAGTGCCAAGGTCTGTCCGGTAGGCATCCCCCCTACTCACCGAGGCCACTTCCCTCGTGCCCGCTCGAGGATGGTGCACTTCCAGCAGGGCAGGTACTGCCAAGGGCTCCTTTCCATGCGTGCCTGCTCGAGGGCGGTACACTTCCCGCATGGTAGCTAATGATTGAACCCCCTTCTATGCGTGCCCGCTCGAGGATTGCGCACTTCCCGCATGATGGTGCACTTCCCGAATAACAGCTAATGCCTGAACCACTCTTCCACGCCTGCCCGCTCGAGGATGGTGAACTGTTCGCATGAGGAGCTGAGGCGTGAATCCCGCTCGAAGATGTCGCACTTCCCGCATGGCTGCTACCTCCTAGACCCCTCGTCCCACGCGCAACCGCTCGAGGGTCGTGGACGTCCCGCATTCCAAGGCACAGCTCCCAAGCCCCAAGCACTCCAGAGCCTCCCAAGCCACGATCCCTCGTTCAGCAAACGGATGTGCGCCCCGAGCTTCCAAGACGGCCCGTGCAGGCAGCCAAGAACACTCGGACGGCCCCAGACGTCTCGAGGATGGTCCAAGATGGCCCCAAGGCGGCCGAACATTGCCTCGAGACGGCCCTAGATGCCCCTTAGATGTCCCACGAGAGCAACAAGAGAACCTCCAATGGAGGCCGAGGAATCCAAAGACATTGCTGTCCCGTGGGTTGTTGAATGATCTTCGCATCATCTCGTTTTCGCGCTAGCATCAGCGGAACACGGCCCACGAGGACTCCACGATGGCCCCAGAAGCATCCAAGACGGCCCAAGAGAGCCCCCCATGGAACCCAAGTCAGTCAGTCAGTGGAGCCGCGCCGCACGGCGCATCGGCTAAACAGCACAAGGCTAATTACAACAGTTCTAACGCACAGCCTCTCAGAAAACATACGCCTGGGCAACGCTTCTCCACCGAGCCCTGCTATAGTTCGGCCCGAGCTCGGCGCGCACAGATGTGCCAGACGGCCCCAGACGGCGTCGAAGCGGCCCATCGACGGGCCCCAGACACCCACCATACGGCAAGGAAGGCACCAAGAAGGCCCAAAAGAACCATAGGCCGGCGTACGGGGCCCCACGACGGCCCCAGGGCCCCCACAAGGGACCCCCAAGACTGCCTCACAGGAGGCCAGCACAGCCCAGAGCCAGTTTTATAGCATCATTGTCATCAGCATCATCATCATCATCATCATCATCATCATCATCATCATCATCATCATCAGCATCAGCATCATCATCATCATCATCATCATCATCATCAGCAGCAGCAGCATCATCAGCATCATCATCATCACCATCACCATCACCATCAGCATCACCATCACCATCATCATCATCATCATCATCATCAGCATCATCATCATCATCATCATCGTCATGAGCATCATCATCATCATCAACATCGTCATCATCATCATCATCATCCGCATCCGCATCATCATCATCATCACCAACAACATCACCTCCATCATCATCATCATCATCATCATCATCATCATCATCATACGCATCAGCATCAGCATCATCATCATCATCATCATCAGCATCATCATCATCATCATCATCATCATCATCATCATCATCATCCGCATCATCATATCTAACTTCAGCATCAGCATCATCATCACCATCATGATCATCATCGTCATCGTCAGCATTACCACCAGCGTCACCGACCGTCATCTCCAGCATTATCGTCATCAGCAGCATTAAAAACATGTGCATCATCATAGTCAGGATCAGCATGTCCATCATTACCATATGCACTAGCACGATCATCATCACCACCATCATCACCACCACCATGATCACCATCGCAATCATCATCATCACCATAATCGCATCACCATCAGCATCAACATCATCACCATCATCAACATCGTCATCATCATCACAACCGCATTCATCATAATCGTCATCACCATCATCATCATCCTCAACAACAGCCAGCAGCATCACATTCAGTATCACTCATCGGTCAGTTTGATTACCAACATTACCATCGGCTTCGTAAGCAACAACATCATCATCACCAACATCAGCAAAATCACCATGATCACTACAGACATCATGATCATCGTCATCGTTACCATCATCACCACTACCATCATCATGACCATGATCGCCAACAATAGCATGAACACCAACATCAACATCAACACCATCGCCACCATCCTCATAATGCTCATCATTCTTATCACGGCTTTCCCAAGCCTGGATACTCGAAATGTCAGACGTGACGTCCTCACGTTAACCCTCGAGCAACCGCTTCCCAGTATGCAGGGCTGGCACAGTGGCGGGACTTGCCGCATGCAGCTGGATGCTTTATAAACAAACTAGGTCGAATCGATCGTCTTGGTTTTGCCCTCCCTCCCCCTCCGCTTCTCCTCTCCTCCCCCCCTCCCTCCTCTTCCTCCTCATCTCTCCCTGCCCTACCGCCCGCCCCATCCCCTCTGCTCACCTCCCCTCCCCTCCCCGCTCCTTATCTCTCTTCATTCATGGTATATACTCCTACTCTGCCCTCTCCCCGCCCTGCTCTATCCGACCTGTCAAACTAATCCGACATGTGTGAGACGCTGTTCCGTTTGACTCGTCGTCGTTGCCGTCCCCGTCGTCGTGGCCGCCAATCCCAAGGAAATAAAGGAGCAAAGCAATTGAAAAACGTCGCGGTGAACTCGAAGGGAAGCCCTTCCCTTTGATCCATTCTCTGCCGGGGGGGGCCCCCGGGGGCAACGGTAGGGGGTCCCAGGTCGGAATGCCAGGGGTCCTGGAGCCCCAAACGCCCCAAAACGGGCCAAGAGTGTACCGAAAAGTCCCCGAAATTGCCCAAGAGGGCCCCGAACATCCAACATGCCCCAATAGGCCTCAAAGAGCACTCCACAAGGGCCCCCCACGAGACAAACTTCAATGGTTGTCCGAAGGTGCTTGAACAATTTGGGCGTTCTCGCCTCTTCGGCTTCCCCGCGCGCCAGGGCGGCCCAGAAGGCAGCAATAAATCGCGGCAGGACGGGCCCAGCCGGCCCCCCAAAGAATCCCGAGAGGCCCCCAAGAACTGCAGCGATGACCTCGGCGCCGCGCTCACTCTTCCAGAGGATTGGGATCCCGCCCGGGCGCCGCGCGTATCTCTCACTCGCCACGTTGAGGGCCCCGCGCCAGCGGGCGGCTTGTCGCCCTCGCCCGAGCTCCGTGCTGATCTCGCTTGGAAGCGGCGTCCCATGGCGCAGGCGCGGCGCATGGCTCGTTCGCCGAACCGCACGGAGGCGACAGCGGCAGCGTGGCAGCGCGAGAGGGGTCGAAATGCCCACCTCGCCCATGCGCCGCGCAGCTTGCGAGTAAGAGTGGTGGTGCTGTGGCAGCGCGGCGCATCCTTCGTCTTGGGCGCGCTCACTCCCGCCCCTGCGCGGGCCGCGTAGTTTTCACTTCGGAAGGTTGTCCGAAGCGCGGCCGCGCGCGAGCGCCTTCCGTTTGCGAGGTGGGAGCGCGTTCCGTCGCTGTGCCAAAGCTGTCTCCTGTGTGCGCGCGGGGGGGGAGTAGGCGGGGCCCTCTGACTCGCTCGACCTGGCTGGCTTGATTCCTTCTCGCGCTCCTCCCCCGCCCCTCCCCCCTCCTCGCACACCTCGCCCCCTCCCCCCCCCCGCACTCCTCCCCCCCTCCCCACGTCTCCCGGCCGCGCGCCAGTCTCCCTGAGCCCTCCTCCCTCCCCACAGCGAGGCAAGGCCGAGCAGGGCGGGGGGGGGCCGAGGGAGAAGAGGAGGGGGGGGCAGACGGAGGAGGGCAGTGTGCAGGTGAGAGGGGGGAAGGGAGAAGAGGGCGAGGGCGGAGGGCTGGGGGGGGAGGGCGGGGCGGCGGGAAGGGGTGTGTGTGTGTGTGTGTGTGTGTGTGTGTGTGTGTGGGGGGGGGGCAGGAGGAGGTCAGGGGGGAGGGCGGGAAGGGCGGGAGTGGACGCGGGAGGGCGGGAGGGAGGGAGGGATGACAGGAGGCCAGGAGGGGGCGAGGCCAGGGGGGAGAGGTAGGCTGGGCACGCTCGCGCCTCCTCTGGCATCGGACCCCTCCCGCCCAGCCCTTCCCACTGCGCCAACTTCTCGGATCCAGCAGTGTGGCCCGCGCGGGGGCGAGAGCGCCACCCTGAACGACGGGAGCCAGGCGCCCATCCTCAAATGGGGCCATCGCTGCAGCGGGAGCATCATTTCGGAAGGGGCGCATCCGATCGGATTCGGAAGCACACATGAGAAAGACCAGCTCGCAAACATCATGTACGCAATTAAGCCATACGCGGATAGGGGCGCATTCTCTCGTCACATCTTCGAAGGAGAGAGAAAACTGGTATTCACTCTGAGGAACTGTGAAGGGAATGACCCCGAGATCTGAAGCTGCAAACACACAACTTCGCGACCAAATCGTGGCCATGCTTTTGGACCCCGTGTTCCTGCATCCGCAGTCGAGCGGGATCGATCTGTGGGAGTCTCGAGCCGAAGCCTGTGCGGCAATGCCCGCTGCGAACACCTTGCGGCGCCAGGATCTCGGGGGAGAAGGGGGGGAGAGACCGGAACGGAGGGCCACCCCTCCCCGCTCATGCGTGAAGTTCTGCCCGTTCAGCGACAGCTCTACGGAGACCTCCACGCCGACGAGGCCGCCGTAGGGGTCCGCCGCGGCAGGCGCCGGCGCTGCGGCGTCCTCTCTGCGGGCGGAGCTGCCCCCGAATGCGGGACGGCATCGAACCGCCTTGGGCGAATCTCGGCCACTTCGGGGCGGAGCTCGGCCCACATGCACGGGTTCCAGGGAGCGCGTGGTCGGCGCGAGGGGTGCCCGCTCCCCGATGTAGGGGCCCCGGAGGTGTCTTGCACTGCTTTCAAATCCGCCGACCCTGTCGGCGTGTGGACCCCCTGTCGGCGTGCGCTCAGTCGACGCATCCGTTGTCCTCTTTTCCTGCGTCTCCGTCGTCCCCTTTCCCTGCACCCTCCTCTTCAAGCCTGCCAGCGAGAGAAAACCGTAGCAACGTCGTACTTAAGTCAAAAGGAAGCCCCTGCCCTTTGATCCCTCCCCCGCCGAGGGGGGGGGGGGGTCCTGGGGCTACGAGCAGATCCCCGTGGTGCCTCACTCTGCAGGACCCACCAGCAGCCCTCGAAAGTGGCGGCAACGTCGCAGATCGCAGCCCCCCAGGGACGGCGAGGTCCCGCTGAGATCCCCGCGGTGCCTCACTCCGCAGGACCCACCAGCAGCCCTCGAAAATGGCGACAACGTCGCAGATCGCAGCCCCCCAGGAACGGCGAGGTCCCGCTCAGATTCCCGCGGTGCCCCGCTCCAATGGACCTACCAGCAGCCCTCGAACGTGGCGGCAACGTCGCAGATCGCAGCCCCCCCAGGGACGGCGAGGTCCCGCTCAGATCCCCGCGGTGCCTCACTCCGCAGGACCCACCAGCAGCCCTCCAAAGTGGCGACAGCGTCGCAGATCGCAGCCCCCAAAGGATGGCGAGGGTCCGCTCAGATCCCCGCGGTGCCTCACTCCGCAGGACCCACCAGCAGCCCTCGAAAATGGCGACAACGTCGCAGATCGCAGCCCCCCAGGGACGGCGAGGCCCCGCTCAGATCCCCGCGGTGCCTCACTCCGCAGGACCCACCAGCAGCCCTCGAAGGTGGCGACAATGTCGCAGATCGCAGCCCCCCAGGGACGGCGAGGTCCCGCTCAGATCCCCGCGGTGCCTCACTCCGCAGGACCCACCAGCAGCCCTCCAAAGTGGCGACAGCGTCGCAGATCGCAGCCCCCCAGGGACGGCGAGGTCCCGCTCAGATCCCCGCGGTGCCACTACGCAGGACCCACCAACAGCCCTCGAAAGTGGCGACAGCGTCGCAGATCGCGGCCCCCCAGGGATGGCCAGGTTCGCGCAAGGCAAGAGGAGACAAGATGGGAGCGGGAGCGGGAGGAGAACTCGAGACGGCAATGCTCCATTCAAAACGAATACCCAACCACGGAGGGTTGGGGAAACAAGATTCCTGCTCCCCCGTGTCAAAGCGTAGTGTCACGCCCAAAGGTCCCCAACACTACGCTATGACACTACACTAACCGTAGCGTGCTGTCATAGCGCAGTGTCACGCCAAAGTGCCCCCAACACCACGCCATGACACTATGCTAACCGCAGCGTGCTGTCATAGCGAAGTGTCACACCCAGGTGTCCCCAACACTACGCTATGGCACTGCGCTAACCGTAGCGTGCTGCCATAGCGTAGTGTCATGCCCAGGTATTCCCAACACTACGCTATGATACTACGCTAACCATAATGTCACGCCCAAATGTTCCCAACACTACGCTGTGACACTACGCTGATCGCAGCGTAATGTCACATCCAGGGTCTCCAACACTACGCTATGACACTACGCTACGATTAGCGTACTGCCATAGCCAATTGGCTTCAACACTACGCCATGCCACTACACTCGCTATATAATCTTCACGGCTAAGAATTCAAATTCACGGTTCATATTGAACCGTGTTACATTGTATTGCAACAGCTTCAATGATGAAGAGCGGCCCGATGTCAACAAATGCTTCTCGCCTCAACGCCGCGCACATTCGTCTGTAACGTTTGCAGCCACTTCAAGACTGTAGTGCGACCCGTTTTGAAAAGTTGGCTCTCGCCTCAACGCCGTGCACAATGTCTTGAAAATATGCAGCAGATTCAAGTAGGGAGTGTGGCCCGTTATGAAAAGGTTGCTCTCGCCCAAGCACCGCTCACAATCTTCTTAGCAGAATTTAAACACAATTCCAACGATGGACGGCGGTCTGTGTTCAAAATGTGGCGCCGCGCACATTCGTCTTAAACGTCAGTGTTGAGGATTTGTGCTTTTGGAGATCCAGGAACGGTGTTCTGGCACGACTTATGCTTGTCAGGGGGCAAAAATCAAGTGGCTTCGCGCTGCACCGAAGTCCGATGAATGGTGTTCTGGCACGACTTAGGACTGTCATGACGCAACGGTCACGTCGATTCGCGGCGTTACAATCCCAATAATAGAGTCTTGCCACGGGTGACGATTATCAAACTTTTGTCTTCCGATGGGGCAATTCAAGCAGTGGGCCTAGTTCTTAGAGGGACATATGATCTGGGAACTTGGAGATAGCGTTTACTGCACCATCGTGGCTCCCCATCCTTCCTTCCTCCTCCTCATCCTCCTCATCCTCCTCGGCAATGGTCACCAACACCATAAACCAGGGGGGCGCCTCTACCGAGGCAGTACGATCCTAGATGTTGGCGTTGGTGCTAATACGTCGGCCATCTAGGATGCCCGAGCACTGCCACCATCACCGACGTCGGGATCCCCTTGTGGAGGCGCGCTGTCGATGCTGGTGTGGGTGCCAACCACTGGGCCTCCGACTTCCCCCCCTCCTCCTCCCCCCCACTTACCTCCCCCCCTGCGTAGCATGGGGGAAGCGGGTCATGAGGGACTCCCCCCCGGGACCCCGAGAGGACTTCCCCCAGGACCAGCTCTGCATCCCGAATCGTTTTCTGACGGAGCCGGGGCCCGTGGAGGGCCCCGAGAGCCCGAAAACGGCGAAACACCTCAGGACCCGTCTGCCTCAGGACCCGTTTCCCCCCGAACCCCTCTCCCTCCTGATCTGAAAACGCTAAGGAAACAGAGCTATAAGCACCAGAAAACGAATCGCTTCCTTTAGCGTGTTGTCTGTTTTCATGCTGGGACCTGCAAGCGCCAACCAAAATGACTCGCAACACGCCGAATGAAGAACGGTGGCGACAAAAACGCACTCGGCATCGCGGATGCCACGACAATGGACACCTTAACAGTCCGATCATTGAATTTAACATGTGTTTAAAATGTGGGGAAAACTGCTCTGAACATGTTCCAAACATTTTTTACATGTTCAAAGCATGTTTTAAACATCTGGGCATTATTTGGCAGCAGGCTTCCTCTCCATTGATCGTCCTCCACAGTCCTACAGGGCAGGCGCTGGCAGCCTGGCTCCCCTCCGCGCCCCCCCCCCCGGAGTCCTCTGCGCCGCTGGCCCCGCTGGCCCTGCGGGCGGCCTCCTCCTCCTCCTCCTCCGCCCTGCTCGCCTTTATCGCCGCGTCAGCAAGCTCCCGGGCCTCGGCCGCGAGGTCCTGGGGCGAGCGGCGAGGAGGACGGGCGGCAGGGCGAAGGGGGCGGGAGGAAGGGAGGCAGGGGGGAGGGAGGGGGGAGGAGGAGGGAGGACGAGGGAGGACGAGGAGGAGGAGGCGGGGAGGACGAGGAGGAGAAAACGAGGGAGGACGAGGGAGGGAACGACGACGAAGACGGGGGGAGCAGGAGGACGAGGGAGGACGAGGGAGGGAGCAGGGGGGGGGGCGAGGGAGAACGAGGCGGACGAGGACGAGAAGCGAGAGGGCGGGCTGGAGAGAGGGAGGGAGCCAGAGAAGACCCCCCCCCCGCACAGACGTCAACCTCCGGGCGGTCCGCGCGGAGCCCTTGCATCAGCGCTGGGACCCCCGCCTGCGGCGCCCCTCTCGCGCTCCGCGCGCTGGCGCGGAGGGTCGCCGAAGAGGGGAGGGGCTGATCGGCGGCGCGCCCGCGGGGGGAGGCGGGAGGGGGAAGGGCAGAAGGGGCACGGGGGAGGCCTTGCCTGAGCGCTCCTCCTCCTCCTCCTCCTCCTCCTCCTCCTCCTCCTCCTCCTCCTCCTCCTCCTCCTCCCTCCTCCTCCTCCTCCTCCTCCTCCTCCTCCTCCTCCTCCTCCTCCTCCTCCTCCTCCTCCTCCTCCTCCTCCTCCTCCTCCTCCTCCTCCTCCTCCTCCTCCTCCTCCTCCTCCTCCTCCTCCTCCTCCTCCTCCTCCTCTCCTCCTCCTCCTCCTCCTCCTCCTCCTCCTCCTCCTCCTCCTCCTCCTCCTCCTCCTCCTCCTCCTCCCCTCCTCCTCCTCCCCCCCCTCCTCCTCCTCCTCCTCCTCCTCCTCCTCCTCCTCCTCAGAAGGCCGCAGGGCCTCCGAGCTCCGCCTTCCCGCCCGGGGCGCGCTTCCGAGAGGAGCGAGGAGACGACTGCGCGAAGGGCGCGTCCGCGCGCCGTCCCGTGCGCGGACTCCCCTCGGGCCGCACTCCAACGCGGCACGCTGCATAGGTGCCTCGGCCCTCGGGGCCGAAGAGCTGTGCGCAGTGCACTTCCTGGGTCGAGCATGGGCACCGCCTCGGCAGGCGCCGACGCGGTGCTGTGCACAAGTGGTCCGCGGACCGACGGCAGCGCGAGCGCCTCCTTGAGGGCGGGCAAAAGTGCGCGCGCATCCACCCGGAGACGTGCTCGTGGCGAGCAGGCGCGCGTGGGCCGAACCACCTGCGAGTCGCGCTGTCTGCTACACCCCCCCATGCACGGAGCAGCGGCAGCACGAGGACCAGGACGTAGAGGAAGAGGAGGAGGAGGAGGAGGAGGAGGAGGAGGAGGAGGAGGAGGAGGAGGGAGTGAGGAGAGCAAACGTAGAAGAAGGCAACTGCTGGGCGGTATTCGCAAGAACGACTGAAACCTAAGGAGCCCCATTTCGGGAGCTACTTAGCCAAACCAGAGCAGATGAAGCCTGGGATTCAGGATCAAGCCGGACTGGTCGGGACTGACCTGAACTCACCGGGACCCTGCCGGCTCAGGCCTGTTTTCGACAACGGACGTGCATCTTAATGCATGGAAGTGCCATCTCTGGCTCAGGATGCATGCCCCGCGACGCGGGGCTACACGTCGCTCATGTTTAATCGTGCTCATTTCTAATTCTGCTCGTTTCTAGTTGTTCCTGGCCCCCTGGTGGCAAGGAAGAGGCCCAGGACAGAAGACTTAAAAATGAAAGGATCTTGGCCCACCAAAAATCAAAGAGCTTCCGAAGAATTAAAAGTGAACAACGTGTAACTGTTTTCGTCGATTGTCGGTGGTTCTCCAGCCTCGGGGTCCTCCCGAGCGGCTGCGCCTGGACGAGTGCGTTCTGGGGGTGCGCGGATCGTCCCGACGGCTGCTGGAGACACCCAAGTTGTGACCCGATAGCTGGAGGACGAGCATCCCTGGGGGGGGATAGGCTCAGGTGGGATGCATTGACCCCCCGCCGCCCATGCATCGCCCACAGGTGCCCGATGGCCCCATCTCGCTGTCTTCCCCCCCGCCTGGCAGACGGCGAGGCGAACACCTCACCGTGCTGGCCTTCGACGAACCAAACCCTCGGGCGACCCCCCCCCGGACAGTCTTGGCCGGCCGGCCCTCACGACTGGAGGCAGCAGGCAGTCTTCGGGTTTTTGCCCTGCCGCGTGGAGCAGTGCAGGAGGAGGAAGGGAAAGAGGAAGTGGAGGACGAGGATGAGGAGGAGGACGATGAGGACGAGGAGGTGGAAGGGAAAGAGGAAGAGGAAGAGGATGAGGATGAGGAGGAAATGATGAGGATGAGGATGAGGAGGATGAGGATGAGGATGAGGAAGGGAAAGAGGAAAGAGGAGGATGAGGACGAGGAGGACGACGAGCAGGAGTAGGAGAAACGGAAGGAGACGAAGGAGAATAGGGGCGGAGTGGGAAACGGAGGGTACGGGGTGGGGGAGACAACATGTTCAGAATAATAATGCGAATGATATGATAAGAGAAGCCATACTTCAAAATTCGAAGAATAAGATTACGAATAATGATAAGAGAACGACAAATTTGAAAACAAACAACATATTAACGAGGAAGAAGAAAGGGAAGGACGGATGGAGGGGAGGGAAGGGGGGCGGGAAGGCGGAAAAGAGGAGGGGATGTGGAAGGGAATCGGGCCAGTTCAAGGATCAAGGAAGGAGACATTGGAAACGGGGAAAATGGCTGTTGGCCCTCAGGAAGGTCCGGCATCGTGAACGACACCTCCCCCGTGGTGAGGTCGAGACTCGCTGGCAGCTGTCTCCGCTTCCAGCCTAGCTCGGGGGGAAAGTCAAGTTGCACCCAGTGGATGTCGGACTGCACGAGGCCAGTGCACCGCACCTTCACCTCAGAAGGGGAGGTGGAGGCGAGCAGGGGGGGGGGGGGGCAGAGGGGTAGAGGGGTAGAGCGAGGGGGGAGGAGAGGGAGAGGGATGGGGGAATGGGACGGAGACTGGTGGGCGGGGAAGGGACAGGGGAGGGGAAGTGGGACGAAGAGTATCGGAGCAGGGCGAGTTGAGACAATGGCAACTCAGAATCGGTTCCTCCAGGGACCAAACGTACAAGTTCTCCGAATTGCGCCCAGCCGTGTGCCGACGAGGGCACCCACCAAAGGATAACTACCGCTGTCTCAATTCGACCTCCCCTCAAAGCAGAGAACACGGAGCGTTCGGTTGCAGCGCATGGAAGCCTCCAACGCTTTCTTGCTGGCTCTTGCGAATCGACGCTCGCCGACGCTAATCGACGCTGAATCGACGATTGCTCATCGATTGCAGACGCTAGCGCACGCTGATTCACTGCAAAGACTCCTACGACTTGCTGTCCAAGGGGTGGTGGGGGGGAACGGGGGAGGCAGCAGGAGGGGAGCGCTCGCAGGTGGGCGCCTCCGTCTGCTCCAGCAGCGACCCCGTGCTCGGCTCCAAGGCGGTCACGCTGAGGTCGTAAACGCTCAGGGGCAGCGCGTGAGGCAGGAAGGTCCGGCCGTCCAAAGACAGCTCGACCGAGTAGTCGTAGAACCTGATGTTCTCGGCGTCCAGCGGCGGCGAGACCACGCGCACCCCCTGGCCTGAGGGGGGAAATTTCGAACCGAGGTTTGAGGTTTTCGGATACTGTCGCTGCTCCTCGTCGGCTCATCAGCATCCGGAAGTCTTCCAGCGGCTACGCCTCGCCGAGAGCGCTCCTGGGTTGCCCGGCTCGTCTCACACGGGGCCCAAAATAAGGAGCCGAACTCTACACACCGACGCTTTTTCCGGCCCCGCACTGAAACTTGCACAGGAAAGCGGATCCTGGTGTATACGGGATCTGGTGTATACATTTTTCGTTGCTTACCCGGGACAGCGGGGAAAAAAGTATACACCACACCATCGGGGGCGGTTAAGAGAAGGGTGTCCAAGAGGGGGGGGGCAAATCATGGCTGGCGGCATGTGCGCGGCCCGAGGGGGGGGGCCAGGGGACGTATTAAAATAAGAAGAGGCGCCACGAAATCTGGGAAATTATCATGGCCACCGCCATGATATCCCCCCCCCCCTAGTCATCACCCCCCTCTTTGCCGCCCCCGACACCACTCCGATGTCGTCCCCGAAAAGCAGCCCGCCACTGGGAATGTAGATGCTCCAGTTTCCCACAAACGCCACCAGGGCCCCGGCTCGGCGGGGGAAACACCGACCCGGACTCGGCGACGCATCGCCGATAGATCGGCGACGGGCCTCCCTCTCGGCGGTGGACAAACCTCCCTTTCGTAAACCACCCTTCAGTGAAAACGGCCCTGGACCCGCAAAAATGACGGCCTCGACGCCCTCTCGCGAACCGAAAACGGCCAATCCGCTAATCGACGTGTCAGGGTAGGAGGTCTATCAACCTCCGACCCTAGGCGGATCCGCACGGCCCTGTGCGGGGTGGGCCCACCGAGCCCCATCCCCGCCCTCAGTGGTCTTCGGGTCCTAGCTCAGATCTCTCTGGCGGCCGTGCGGGACGATCCAGGCACCCCAGGAGCTAGGCAAGCACGTTCCGCTACTCGCAAAGTCACCACTCGCAAATGGCCTGGATCCGCCGTGGGGGATTTACGATAGATTACATCGAGGCGAACGGGTTTTTTCTGACGTTTGCGAGTAGGCACTTTGCGAGTAGCGGAACGCGCTCGGCGAGGAGCGCTCTCGGCGGGGCGCAGCTGCCGGAAAGCACCGCGAGGCGGGAGAAATGCCGAGAGCCGCCGAGAACATGAGAAAGTCTCGAGCCTCGAACCCTCGAGCCTGTACCCCCCCTGGGCCTATCCCTCCCTGTCGTTGCACTTGGGGTCGATGCATCCCCCCTGAGCCCTCCCCCCCCTACGTTGCCCCCATGAGGGCCTCCCGCGTCCAGCCAGGCGACCACCGGAACCTTCAGGGGCATGGCCAGGGGCAGCTTGGCCACCGCGTCCTGGTCGGGATTCACCTAAAGGAAAGTAAAGCGACGTAGTAGAAATTTGCGTGGCTCCGCGCGGCAGGGTCTCAGAGGCCCTCCGGTCTTCTGGGAAGCCTTCTGTGACTCTTGTTGCGCTTTACGTATGTTCCTACAAATCGCCCCTCTCCTGGGGCTCGAACCCTTAGTGCTCTACACATATTCTTACATATTGTCTCTGTCCTGGGGCTCGAGCCCTTCGGGTTTCGAGTTCTCATCGCTCCCCACAATTCGGAATGACCTTGTATGTATCGTGCGAGTTGATGGTGGGAAAATACTTCGGGAGAGGTTTTGGCTCGATCTCCTTGACCGAGCGATCTGGGCGAGGGAAAATGGTCCCCCTTTTGATTTAGCTCACGAGGGCAGCCTTGGGCCCCCACCAGGCGGCCTTGCGTCACTGGGGCTCTGGTCCAGGGCCCGTGCCGGATCTCTCTCTCGCTCTCTGTCTCTGTTTCTTTCTTTCTTTCTTTCTTTCTCTCTCTCTCTCTCTCGCTCTCTCTCTATATGTATATATATATATATATATATATCGATCTTAGCATAATTAGACGTATAGGTAAATCTGCATGTATGCATGTATGCTCGTACGAATGAATAAGTGAACGAATGACTGAAGGAATGAATGGTTGCATACATGTCTATGTGTATATGTGTGTGTGTAGATGTGCATGTGAATGTATGTATGCATGCATGCACGCACGCATGCATGTATGTATGTATGTATGTATGTATGCATAGCCGTGTGTATATGTATATGTGTATGTATGTAGTCGTACATGCATGCGTACGTGAATACATGCCTGCACGTATGTATAGACGCGTACGTATGTGTATGAATATGTATGTGTGTATGTTTGTATGCATGTATTAATGTATCTACGTGTGTGTATGTAGGTATGTATGTTAAATGTATGTATGTATGCATGTATGTAGGTATGTATGTTGGCGTGCATGCATGTATGTAGGTGGGTAGGTATGTCTTTATGTATGCGTGTAGGTTGATGTACGTATGTATGCATACATGTGTGTATGCATGTGGGTAGGTATGTGCGTATGTGTGCGTAGGCATATTTGCAAATATCTATCAGTGCATCACGGTATGCATGTGTATGTTTGTAAACATGTGTATACAAGTATGTATGTCTGCAGCTATGTATGTAGTATGACTATGTATACATATGTATGCATGGACGTATGTATACATGCATGAACGAATGCATACATGTGTGCATGTATGCATGAATGCATACATGTTTGTATGCATGCACATCTGCATGTATGTGTAACTGTATGCACGTGTGGATGGTCGCACGCCAGTAAGAACGCACGTATGTATGTATGTATATGTACGTATGTATGCCGGTATGTATTCATGCAGGAATGTACGTATGTATGTATGCATGCAGGTGTGTGTATGTATATCATCTGAGGTAGGTCTATATGTAGCTGCATGTACATACTTATACGTGTATATAGAAAGATACACATACAAATGGATTCATGTGTGTTGTTAGGCGCGTGCATTCTTTAATTCATATATACACACTTTTTGGGGGGGCCAATCGTGGTCGTCGGCCGAACGCCCAGGCCGTTGGCGGGTGCCGCGAACTCCTGGGGCCCAGCAATCCGGTATTGGCGCACGACTTCGACTCCATTTGTTTCGCCATGGATCGAACTGTATTCCATTGCCCCAACAGGCGACACGCACTGCCACTGGCACCCGAGGGCCCTGAAGGGGGCACCGTGCTATGCAACAACAACAACAACAACTGCAAATGGGTATGTCGTGCTCTGTTTTGGTTTGCTTAAGCATCGACCCGCTGCGCGGCCTAGACGACGCCGAACGGGGTGGGGGGACGGTGCAACAATGGCGCCGCTGCGTCGCTGCACGATCACCCATGATCGAAGCGGGAAACCAGATCGAATCGGCAACACGCAAGGGTGACCGTGGGCAAAAGCAACCTCTGGTACGCGGCTGCAAAGGGCCGCGGACGTGGCAAAATACAACCGCACAAGCTGCAGTCATCGCACCGAACTCAACAATCGGAAGACCCCAACGAGACCGCAACAAAGGTCACTCTGGCCCCAGGCCCCCGACGTCGCGTTTTGCTCATGACATGGGCCCCCATCGGTCTCGACCCATTCCCCCAGACTTGTTTCTCGTCCTGACCAATTTTCGGACGGCCCCGGAGCCTGGCGAAGGCCCACGGAGGCTGCAAAAAGCAAAACGCCTCCCGTCCTGTTTTTTGTCATGACCGGAGGGGGTCTGGGTCTTTCGGGGGCGGCCAAAAAGGGAGCGTCCAAGAAGGTGGGGGGGCACAAACCATGGCCACCGGTACGTGCGAGCCCCGGGGAGGGGGCCGGGGCTGGCACTGAAAGTACTAGACGCGGAGATCCCCATATGTGTATCAATTTGCCTGGACCTTTTCCGCTGCGAGTGTCTGCGAAAAAATCTGGGCGTGAGTGGGCCTGAATAAGAGAGACTAGGAACGGGTGGGTCTGAGCGTTCAAGGTTCAAAGTTCTAGTCCTATCAGACTGGCCCGCGAGGGGCAGGACCCAGGGTGAAACCCTCACTCGTCGAACTTCGCTTCAGCTGCCCAGTCAACGAAAACAAAAGACAATGCATGCCAGACCGCGGAACTCCGAGCCGGACGCCTCTAGTCGCCAAGGGCCCTCTGAGTACAGAAACGCCGCATAACATCCTCAAAACGCATCCATGTGCGGGAAGACGGTCGCATAGGACGAGCCGCGCCGAGCTCCTTTGCAGCTGCATGCCATATCGCCACTATGTCACCTTCCGCGCCCACTGACTCGGATCTTTATCCGCGGCTTCTCCAGCCCATCTCCGTGTCCTTTTGAAGCGTTAAGGGACTCATTCCTTCACAGCGCACAGCGCATTCGCGCGCAAGACGCCGAGCTTTGTATGTCGCCCTTTTGGATCACGTCTATCCAGGTTTCCTCTTCAGCCCTCCCGCGCCCTACGATATGACGCAGCGTCGTATGTTGTGTTACCCTTAGCATTCTGAATTTTCCGCCCGTGAATTTTCCGCCCGTGACCATAGAATGCCCTCGGCGACGGTGGTGTCGAATACGCGCAGACGCTTCCGCACTAAAGAACACGCATTTCATATTCATCGCCCCGAATTTCCGCCAACCCACTGCTATGCGATTGGCAATATCCTCTCCCGTCGGGCCCACCAGGCACAGCGTCGCGCCTAGCAACTTCATGTTCTCTCCTGGTGGCAGTACCTCTATGTAGAATCCGTCGGCAATGGGTCTGTGCCCCTCGCAGTGCGAAGCTCTTCTTATGCGCGTGTACCTTGCATTTCGTCGGATGCAAAGATAACCCCATGGCTTGCATAGCTGACCTCAACATCAAAATCGTCCTCCCCATCGTAGCCCAACTCTTCGCCACTGAGGTCCGGTCGCCAACGAACACGATGCGCGTCAAGCGATGGCCCCAGAAGTCGCGCCCCACGTTCGCGCCGTAGCCGCGCCCCTTCCACGCCTCGCTAACTTCGTTCTGGACCCCGCCAAACACAAAATTAAAAAGGAATCGGCGAGAGAGGGTCGCCCTGCTTGACGCCCCGGTTCGTCTCGAAGCACCGACAAGAAGCGCCTCAAACAAACAAGAGTGATGTACTCGGTCAAATGCCTTATCCAGTCAAGCGTCGCCCCCCCCCCCCCCCCCGCCCCCCATTTCAACGATTTTTCGACCGCCATTCGGGCAGCGCGCGCCGCGTCAGCGCGCCCGCGGCAATGGCGGAAACTGAGCTGTTCCTTGGACAACGTTTACACAATGATGACGGCTACCCTGTCTGAGAGAACAGCGCCGCGTACATTCGCCACGACTGGAAGGACAACGATGGGCCAGCAAATTCTCGGCATGGTCGCGTCGCCCTTCTTGAACGGTGCCCTCAGCTTTGCGATCTTCCAAGCTGCAGGCGGCGGCAATCTTCCGATGGCGATCTCTGTGGGGAGAACGGAAATGCCCGCGATCAAATCAAAGTTCTCGGCCGCGAGCCCGTCATCTGCGCTGGCCCCCCCCCTTTTCCCTTCTTGGGCTTCGTCGAAGCAACTCCCGCTTCATCAACTGTTGCGCGACCCTCGTGTCCAGAGAGCGGCGGCGCAGCGGGCTGGCCGCGTGCATCTTCGCACAGATCCTTGTAAAACGATGCAAGACCTTGCAAATCGTCATTTCGTCAATTTTCAAATGCCCCAGTGTTGTCCTGCGTTTGCAGTGTTCGTTCTGCTCTTCTGCGCCGCTGCTCCAGTCTGCTCGGCGCTCCAAGCCCTGCCCCTCTCATCAACAAGTCTTCCAGCTCTTGTCTCCGCCGCTGGTCTCGCCGTTGAGATCACTATGCCTGTTTTAATGCATTTCGCCGTCCGCGTGGGTCTTGTTCTTGATTCCTCGCTTTCAGCAGTTCTTTTGTTATCGAGCTGTGGTTTTGGGCCCCCCCGTCGCTCCTGGGCCCCCCCGCTGTCGACGCAGCCTATGCGATCATATCCGCGGGGTCCTCGGCGCGCTTTCGCCCCTGGAGCTCGCCGTCTAACGCCCTGCGGAGCTGCGCCAGCTGTCCGTCCGCGCCGAGAACAGGTGCACGATTGACGTCTGCCTTCTTTCCTCCGCGTCTCCTGCTTGGCCTGCCGCTGCAACTCAAATCGACGAAAACGCTCGGAGACCCGAGTTCCCTGCAAGGCATCCCAAATTAACTTCCCGCGTCTGATCGGGCACTCTGGCAATTCCACCCATGGAGATACCATCGGTCTGTATTTGTCGCCAAGCGCCACTGAGCCAATGCGCCCATGCTCCATGAAATTCGCTGCGCGCGAACGCCATGATGGCCGAACGCTTCATCCCATGGGGCCACGCTGCTGACGTACCTCCTCAGACACATCACTGGCCAATACCACTTGCACCGACTTGGTTCTGGTCGTCCGTGGGATTCCTGTCCCCTATAACGGCGTTCGCTCCACCCCCGCAACGTTGAAGCATGCGTCGCGGCTGCCCTCTTCGACCGCTGCGCCCACCTCCCGCAGCGCGTCGTCGCATCCTTCGCCTGGACATCCCCTGCGGGGAAATAAGCCGTCAAAACGCGCGCTGTCATGTCTGGCGCGCCCATGTCCAAGCATGCGCATCGCCTCCCAACCGCGTTGAATGTGAGGCCGAATCCCGCCCCACTCCATCTCTCGCTGACTATAACACCCACGCGGCGGCTCCAATGTCTGCGCGCACCAGCAAAGAATGCGTGCCAATAGTGCAGAATGACATAGGAATAGCATAGGAACCCTCTTCACATTGGAAGCTACATCACATTCGCACTCCGAATCTAAACGCGTCATCGCGCCCCCTGTGCCACCTTCCGCCAGCCCACAAGCATTCCAACATGTTACTTCAAACTCCAATCTCGCACTCGAAATCTCGCGTCCACTGCCGCTCGTCATCGGCGCTGTCGCGATCAAAATGCCGCGCGGCACGTCCCCGCCGACCTTGGCATGCATGCCTCTGCCTCCCTCTTCGCTCCTTGTTACTTCCCGCGTTGAACGCGCGCGTCCATCTAGATCCCCCCCCCCCCCCCGCCCACATCCGAACCCTCGGCCGTCGAAGTGTCGAATTGGGCCTGGAACTTCTCTGCCGCACCCATCATCGCGCCCTCCTCCTCCACCCCGCGCCCGCCCTTCCACCTCGCCCTGTCCATGGAGTAATTCGTGTCTAGATGCCTCTTCGCGTCGCTGCCCCCGCCCCCGCCGTTCTCGATGATAACCCGCGCAACCTTCCGGACCGCCTCGGCCTTCTGCGGGCCCCGGTCGCGGGGCCAATCGGAGTTAGCATAGATTGTCTCCCCATTGGCCTGGAAATTGTCCTTGCCCCGCCTCGCCGTCAAAGACTTCCACGTCGACTCTTCTGTCTTAAAGCGCACTGCCCTCCTTGACGCAAACCCACCAAAAGAGCAGAAACCTCTCCCACCGCATCCTTCACCTCCCTGGTCCACTCCTCCAAGTTCTCCCTGATGATGCCTCCCTTGGTGTCTTCGGGAAAATTACCGACATAGACGGATCTCAAACGCTGGTCCTCAGATTGCACGCCTTTCCCAGCCCCTTTGTCCGTGGTGGCGCCCTCCTTGCCAGCACAACGCGATGCCGCCAGAGTCCCCGGCGTCTGTTTCTCCATGATGTCGTCCGCCAGCTCTGAGAGCACGTCTTTGACCAACTGTGGTAAATCGTCATGCTTGACTGTGGTGTCCTTTAGCTGGTTCACCTCCTCCCTGACTCCCTCAAACGAGTCCTTGATCTCCCTCGCTGCTTGCTCTGCCGTGTTCGCAACACGCTTCGCCTGCTGCGCGACAGCTTTGTCCATGGTTGCCTTCCTCTTCGCGTTCTTCAAATCCTTGCTCATGCCCCTCATCATCTTCATCAGTTTCTGCATTGTGCTTTTCCTGTCCAAGACCTCGTCCTCCTCCGCCTGCTCCCCCTCCTCCTCGTCAACCTATTCCCCTTCGTCGGCTTTGTGCATCCTTCATCTTCCACGTCCTCATGTGTTTTAATCATGTCCCTTGTCGCCAGCACGCGCGATCTTCTTAACAAGCGCGCCGGCGTTGCTGCCATTCGCCTTGAAATGCCTGCCCTCGCTCATGTTGACCGCAGCGTTTCCTGAGTGTCTGAACCACGCCAGAAGGCCGAGAGGTTGCCCGGGCTTGCCTGCTTGAGCCGCTTGAGCCCACTGAGCCTCCTTGAGCCCATCGGGTATGAGTGTGAGTGAGTCCGTGTGGGCGAGTCTGAGCGTGATTGAATCGATGTGTATGAGCCGGAATATGGCTAAGCATTTGGCAAGTGCATTTGAATGTGGGTGGTCTGGGTATTAGAGTGTAGGTGTGTGTGTGTGTGATAGATTTGTATGAGTGTGAATGGCGTGAGTGCGAGTGTGGAAAGCGCGTAGGATTCGAGCAACAGGAGAAGGGCAATCCATAGGCACATACGTAAACCACGCAGGTGGGGTCGACATGAGAACCTTCCGGGGCCCCCTGGAGCCTCCAGAGGGCCTCCTTGAGTCTCCTCGAGCTTCCTGGGGTTTCCTGGGCCCCCCAAAGCATCCTGGAGCCTCCTGGGGCCTCATGGGGGCTCCTGGGGCCCACTGGGGCCTGTAGGGGGCTCCTGGTGTTTACTTGTGCCTCGTGGGGTTTCCTAGCGTTTCCTGGGGGGCCTCCTGGGGCCTCGTGGGGGTTGCTCGGGCCTCCTGGGCCCTCCTGCCATTTCAAGGGGCTTCCTGGGGCCTCCTGCGTTTTCCTGGAGCCTCCTGGGGCCTTCTGGGCCCATTCTCGGGCTTCCTAAGGCTTCACCAACGCAGGCAAGCCGCCTGAGACATCATTGCAACCTGGGCCCTTTTGGAAGTGCTGAAACCAGCGCCTCGCCTGAGACATCCTCGGGAACTGCTCCGAAATATAAGAATGCTGAGCACCCGAACAGGCAAACCTCCTGAGACATCCCCATCATCTGGGCGCGAACGGGCCCGTGATATACCCCCTGGCGCCCCCCATTGGAAGTGCTGAAGCAAGCGCCTCGCCTGAGACATCCTCGGCAACTACTCCGAAAGAGACGGAGGTTCAGGACCCAAACATGGGAACCGTCTGAGACTCCCCCACAATCTGGGCGCGAACGCGCTCGTGATATACCCCCTGGCGCCCCCCCTTGGAAGTGCTGAAACCAACGCCTCGCCTGAGACAGCCTCGGAAACTGTTCCGAAAGAGAAAGAAGTTGGGCACCCAATTAGGCAAACCGCCTGAGACATCCCCCCAATCTGGGCGCGAACGGGCCTATGAGATACACCCTGGCGCCCCCCTCATTGGAAATGCTGAAACCAGCGCCTCGCCCGAGACATCCTCGGAAACTGCTCCGAAAGAGAAGGAAGTTGGGCACCCAAACAAGCAAACCGCCTGAGACATCCCCCCAATCTGGGCGCGAACGGGCCTATGATATCACCCTGGCGCCCCCCCATTGGAAATGCTGAAACCAGCGCCTCGCCTGAGACATCCTCGGAAACTGCTCCGAAAGAGAAGGATGTTGGGCACCCAAACAAGCAAACCGCCTGAGACATCCCCCCCAATCTGGGCGCGAACGGGCCCGTGATAGACCCCCGTCGCGCCTCCCCTGGGGAATACTGAAACCAGCGCCTCGCCTGAGACATCCTCGGGAACTGCTCCGAAAGAGAAGGATGTTGGGCACCCAAACAAGCAAACCGCCTGAGGCATCCACCAAATCTGGGCGCGAACGGGCCCGTGATATACCCCCTGCCGCCCCCTCGTGGGAATACCGAAACCAGCGCCTCGCCTGAGGAATCCTCGGAAACTGTTCCGAAAGAGAAGGATGTTGGGCACCCAAACAGGCAAACCACCTGAGACATCCCCCCCTATGGGCGCGAAACGGCCCGTGATATACTCCCTGGCGACCCTCCTTGAAAATGCTGAAACCAGCGCCTCGCCTGAGACATCCTCACAACGTCCGTGTGAGTCTGAGCGTGGAAGTACCAGGAAAGTGAATGAGTCTGCGAATGAGTGATTCCGAGCATGAGAACCCTAAGTATCAGGAATCTAGAAGCGAGTGCATCTGAGTATGAGTGAGTATGAATATGAGTGGATCTACGTCTGAGTGAGTCAGAGAATGATGACCTGAAGGTGAGAGGTGTTCTCGTTCCGAGCGGTCTAAATAATAACAAGAACCCCATCTTTAGGATATGGGGAATAAGACGAGACGCCATGCAACCAGGGGAAATACCATGGCCCCGCCATGATACCCACACCCCCGACTCATCGCCCCCCCCTCTTGGACGCTCCCGACATCCATGACCCGAGGGGGTCTGGGTCTTACGCGGGGCCGATCGGATCGGATCGAATCGTCGTGGCCGGGGGGTCACCATCTCAGCCGCCGCCCGGCGAGTGGGCGCGCCGCCCTCCAACGCGGGGTCGCCGATCGACTGCAGCGGCGTGCACACGAACCTCGCAAGGAGGTGCTCGGCCGGCATCTGCGGGGGGAGGGCCACGTGGAGCAGCAGCTCCGCGCCACCCGCCACCGGCACGCACCTCGTGGAGCGGGGGGCGACCGTTCCGGCATCCCTGTGTAGGTGGGCCTGCCACGGATTGCTCAGTCGAAAGGAAGGATGCCCCTTCCCTTCGATCCCTTCCCCGCGGAAGGGGGGGGAGGGGTCCCAGGGGATGGTCCTGGGGGGGGGGTCCTGGGAGGTGGTCCCGGGGGGTGGTCCCGGGTTAGGATACCACCCTCCAGGGGCCCATGGCCCGCCCTCTCCCTCCCATTTCCGTCGAGGGTCGAGGCGTCCAAGGTCGGCGCCACTGGCCGCAAGGCCTTAGCAATAGACCCGGAAAGGGGGAGAAGAGAGCCTGGCATGCCCGAAACAAGTCAATAGAAGTTATGCCGAAACAACAATGCTGAACACATGGCATCCAGCGCAAGCGCTTCTATAACGTAAATAGCTGGGGGATCTTTCGAGTTAGCCAGCCCAATGGTGGGCAAAACATTGACACATATTTTGCAGCTAGCGCAAGCGCAGCCATAACGAAAAAGGCCATGGACGAGAGACCGAGCGCGAAAAGCTGGAAGTTAGTGGCAGTGAGTTTGAGTTAGTGCTAGGTGATGTTGCAACTGTGTAAAGTTATGCTGAGTCGAGCTGTAACTATTCACCCGAGTGAGCCCACACTGTTAAGGCAGATCATACCATCACATCTTAATACAACCTAACACAACTTATCTCGGGCATCTTAGATGGGGAGGTCAGGACGCTTTGCCACCGCTCGAACCTCGGCTCCGCGTGCGTCGGGCCGTCCTCTGGCCACCGGCTGTACCAGAGCAGCGCCGACTCCGCCTTGTGCACGTCTCGGGCTTGGCGCGCCGCCGCCGACTGGCCCAACAGGCCCTGCAGGCCCTGCTGCAGGGCGTGGTCGATCGGCTTCGTCTTGCCCTGGAGGCTCTTCTGCGGGGCGGCCCGCTCGGGAGCTCGGCTCCACGTCAAGCCGTTGTCGACGGAGACGCGGACCTCCACGGCAGACGTGATTCCCTGGCTCACCACGGAGCCCAGCGGCGAGTGCACAACGGGCGGCGTCGTAAACTCCAGGGTGTCCACGTCAACGATTCTCCCCGGCACGATAAAGTCGCAGAGGGGCGAGCTCGACTTCAGCCGCACCTTGACGGGTATGTAGTCCGCCAACATTACCGAGGTCGTCATGGAGTCCACCGACTGCGTGCGGCCCGGCGGGGAGTAGGGAAGCCCGTTGACGTGAACGCGCACCTGCGTCATCTTCGTCGTGATCGTCGTCATGATCGTCGGTGCCATCATCGTCGTCATCGTTGAACAATCACCATCACCAACATCAGACGAAGCGTCTTGGCCGGAGGGCTCGAGAGCCATCTGTCTCCAGTGGCCGTTCGGAGGGCAGGCCGTGCTGGCCTCCCCGGACGCGAGTGGCAGCCCGAGACGGTGGCTGCCCTCGAGGCGGTGGCATACAGCCGGGGCGTTGACCTAAGGAACCCGATATAAGGAACGAGGCCCCTTTTGCCCATAAGTTTAACTTCGATTTCCCGTCGAACACCTCAGGAGAACCTGAGGCAAGCTGTGAAACGATTAAGGAGCATGGAGCCCCGCCCCTACGAAAAGAGTTCCTTCTTCAGCGGCCCGACTGTAAGACGGCCGTGCCGGCAACGCGCGGAGGCGCGGCGCGACGCCCGCCGCCAGAGCCCGCAGGCGAGCGAGGCCGCCGTGTGCGCGCTGGGCAAGCGCTTCGCTGTGGCCCCATAGCCAGCGGGGCAGCGGAGCGCCGCCGCGCGGCCGTGGCGCAGCCCCGAAGGAATGGACCGTGAGCCTGCCAACCGTGAGGGCGCGAGGGCGAGCTCTTCGCCGGGTCGCCCGCCCGCAACAGGCAGATCCCTTCAGGGCCAGCGGCTGCCGGTGTGCGGCGGCCGAGTGCGGCGGGCGAGAGCCGGGCGCGGGCCGCCGCGCGGCCCCGAGCAGGGCGGGGACTGGGCCTCTGCCCGCAGCGCGAGCGGCGGCGCCGACCCCACGGCTCCCTCGGGGGCGCGGCCCGCCGCGGCGCCGTGCCCGCAGAGGAGGCCGAGCTCGCGGACCTCGAGCAGGCCGTGGATCGAGAAGCAGGGGCACAGGGACAGCGCCGGGCTCCGTGCGGCCAGCGCGGAGGCGCGCTGGCGAGGATGCAGTAGCATGTGCGTCTCAGGGGTGGCGCAGGTCCACTTGCTCTGCGAGGCGGCCAGGGAGGTAGGTCGCCTCGCCGGGAAACTCGCGGTAGGTCGCCTCGTCGGGAAAGTCGCGGCGCGCTGCGCGGCGCCAGGAGCTAAAATCCGGCGACACGGATGCAAGAAAGCGGCGCTGGCGCCGGGGAGCCAGCTCGCAGAAGCCAAAGTGGCGCTGGCTGCAGTTCGCCAAAGGGAAGGCCCAGCTCGTGTTCATCTGTGGTCACCCGCACCTTCGGTGGCAAATCACAGGAGCCTCACCATCATGATAGCAGACGCTGTGCGACGCTGGTCGACGTGATCGACGCGAAATCGACGCCAATCGACGCGAATCGACGCGAAATCGGCGCGGCCTCATTGATTACCTGACGCCACTCGACGGTAATCGACGCTAGCGACGGGATTCAGACGTTATACAAGGCCACGATCTGCTACCGAGCGCACCGATGCCCAGGCCCGCTCGGCGGACTGGCGAGCCCCCCGGTCGCGCAACGCTGGACAATGGCGGGTAGCCACCGCTGATCTCAGGTCCGAGTCGCGCCCGGGTGCCTCTCCTCCCCTCCTGGACTGAGGCATCCTCGGACACAGCTGCCTGGCAACAGAGACCGATCATCACCATCACGATCGCCATCTCTCCCCATCGTTCCCATCGCCGCCATCATCACACTGACCCGCCTGCAGAAGACCTTTCGCAAGTTGTCTTCGGGATGGCAGCCCTCGTTGGCATGACCATTTTGGCCCAAGAAGGGCCATCCGCACACCTACCTCGTGTAGCAGTACAACGAACTGAGACCGCGGCAGCTCAGATTCGGTCCCCAGACCGCTCCTGGGGTCCGGACGCACAAGATGCCCGAGCTGCGTCCAGCCGTGGCTACGAGGGCCCCCCTCCCCCCCCCTCCCGAAGGCCAACTACCGCTGTATCAACTCGCCCTCCTCTTAATGTGGTCGGTCCATCGCGAGCCCTGGCCGGCAAGGAGAGGCGGAGGCGGAGGAGGAGCAGGAGAAACTGGAGGAGCAGAAGAAACTGGAGGAGGAGGAGGAGAAGGCCGACGAAGGGGGAGGAGGAGGAGGAGGAGGAGGAGGAGGAGGAGGAGGAGGAGGAGGAGGAGGAGGAGGCGGCGGGGCATGTGTTCGGCCCAGGCGGGACCTGGCCAGCAAGGAGAGAAGAGGCCTCCCTGGCCCAAGGCAGCGGCAGTGGGCCTTGTCGTGCGGTGCCCCGCGCCCCGAGGTGGCGGGCCTCCCACGGCGCACTGGCCACCCACCCACCCACAGCTGCGCGGCAGCCTGGCCTGGGAGGCCTTGTCGGGGGCGCCGAGGCTGCTGATGTGATCCGACCCGCGAGATACGCCATTGGGCAAAGCTCACGGAGGAAGAAAGAGCTCATGAAAGACATAAACCTTCGGAGATCCGAGCGGCTTTCTTGGATTTGCGCTGCGCCAGAGGCGCCGCTATAGTTCCAGCGCAGATCCCAGACGTCAGTGCGGACCTTCGAATACGTGTGTTCATGCAGTTGTCCCGCATTCGAGCTCAGCCCGTCTGCTGGCCTGGAGGCCACGCAGGCGCGAGCGCGGCACGCAGGTCATGCGGAGGGGGCGCTCTGCATGACCAGGCGAGCGCCCGAGAGGCTATCCTCGCACAGCGCGACGGCGAGGCCATCGGCCAACAGGCGGAGCACGCGCCGCGGCGTGCCACGGCCCCAGGCGTCTGCGCAGGCCTCACCACCGCAGGCGTGGTACGCGGGCGGGTGCGTGACACCCCGGCCGTGGGCGGCCCCGTAGGCAGGGAACCTGTCAAGGGCGAGAGGAGGAGGAGGAGGAGGAGGAGGAGGAGGAGGAGGAGGAGGAGGAGGAAGAGGAGGACAGGGAGGCGGGGAAATGTGGTCGCAGGGACATCGGTTTTTATGTCAGGTCGCGGGGGGCGGGGAAGAACTGTGTATTTGTGCGTTTGGGTGCGATGCTAACGATACCGCTCGGCTAATCCGCCCCCGCGAATTACCTATTTCCGTTCCGGTGCTAACTAACCATAACACGGTGGGATTTCCTATCGGCTTCCCTGGGCTGTGTGGCGCGGCTGGGAGCGCTCCTTCCGGAGGCCTCTGGGGCGCAGGACCAAATCAATTGCCAAATCTCTGGAATGGTAAAAACATACCGCTACCGCTACTCCAAGGCCATCCTGGGGTGCGCTCTGACCAGGGTCTCGAGGCGAATCCAGCCGCGGCGACCAGGGAAGGGTAGAGATCGGTACATGTTCCTTCCCTGCGTCTCCGAATACGAGGCGATGTCGCAACACCTCTAAGCTGAGGCCCAGTGCGCCTCAGACTTCGAGGCCTGGCTACACGGATCTGACCAAAGAGCCCACACGGTTGGCATGGCACATGCGGGCGAGCGGCGCCGTTCATGGACACGGCGCGGAGTCGAGTGCTGCGCTTCGACTGGCGGCTAAGGTCGAGGCTAGCGGCTGGGCTATCGGGCCCGTGTCGGCAACAAATGGGCGATTGGGGGTCGATGCGTCCCCCCCTGGGCCTAAACCTGCCTAGCGGTGCCCCTTTGGTGGCTTTCTGTCAGCCTTGTTATGTTGTGCCGTGACGGTGGCAGCAGGACTGTCACTGCACCGAACCTTCACAACACTGCAACCACAAGGCGGTTGGCTACGGCCCGAATGAACACAGTCGGACTTAGGCCAGAAGAACACCCTCCAAGAACACGAGACCCTCCGCCAGCCAGAAACACACGGGACATCCAAAGGCTCTCTCCCCAGGATGCACAAGTCACGTCCCGCAGACACGAAGAACACGAGCACACCCTCCCCGAAGCGACCTCGATCTCATGCCTCGGTCCGACGGCACCCCGGCGGGCGTGCCCAAGAGCCTCGGAGCGCGCCTGGGCGCGCGGCCTGCCATGGCCTCCCCTCGCCCTCCCCCGGCGTGCCCCGCGCCTGCCACAAAGGCCATGGCCGGCGCGCGCAGAGCTCTCTGAAGTCTGCGAGGCCGCGCCGATGCGGCCGAGCCGAGGCCCCAGACTGCCACGTGGGGCCTCCTGGTGACTCTGCGGGTGGCCACGCCCTCTCCGACTACCTACCAGACCACCCCAACCCAACCCGAAGACCCGAATTTGACCCGAATGTGACGCGAATTTCGGGTTGGGGGGGTACTGGCACGGGTTCCATGTGTTGTTTTCCATGTTCCCCGACCCCCCCCCACACACACTGGAAATGGAGGGGAAATTGAGGCCTTCGGGTTGGGTCGGGGTCGTTTGGTGGGTGGTGACTCTCGTTGGACGCCCGAGATGGGTACGAAAAAAATGGGCACACTGCCGAACAGCTAATGTTGTCCAAAACCGACCGCGGTCGCTGTTGGGCAGGCGCCTGCTTGCCTTCCATGGACAAAGCCCGCGGCGGCGCGGACAGCACGAACAGGAACTGGTGTTGGACATCGTACCAGCTATTTCCGTACTCCAGATTTTGTAATAAAAGGGAGGGGGCCTGGACCCTCCAAGACAAGCCATTTCAGACCTCCCCCGTGGGAGAACCCAAAACATCGTCCCCAGACCCCCCAGGCCCTCCAAGATAGCCTGGAAGAGACCTCCCCCCGAAATGAGACCCCCTTCCCTTTATTACGAAATCTGGAGTACCCATTCCGATCGTCCCGACTGTGGCGCCTTCTGACCGCATGGGAGGTGGCCTCGGAGGGTGGCCAGTTGAGACCACGGCAGCCCCTCGCGCCCGGACCACATCCGCTCAGAATCGGCCCCCGCGACACTCCCGCGGCCCATCCTGATCGGTCTGCTCGGCGCGGGGTCTCCGCCCGAGAAGCTTCTCCTGCGTGCCCAGGGAAGGCCCCGGAAGCTTGATGGAAGGCCAGGGGGGGTGCGCCTTCCGAGCCTTCCGGAGAGGCTGGGGGGGAGGGGTGCAGGACGTCAGATGCGACGCGAGCGCGCCTGGCGTGTCGCTTCCCCCCCCCCCCCGCTCGCCGCCGACCTTCTCCGGTGGGCCCACGGGCAGGCTTAGACGCTCTGCCGCTGCCTGGCTCGGGCTGGGCGAAAGGGGGGGCAGCAATTTAAAGGGGGGACTTGAGAATCAGCTCTCGCAGCTGATTTTCCCGCGGCGCCTCCCGGCGCCCATCGCCCATGTATCGAGGAATTGGCCCGGCGGCGGGGCCGAAACCAGCTGCATGCAGCAGATTTCGTGACCCCCTTTCCCTATCCCCCCCTTGTGGCCCCTTTCTCTATCCCCCCCCCTTTCTCTATCCCCCCCTTTCTCTATCCCCGCCCCCCCCGCGCGCGCCCGAACCCCTGCCCCTCCCTCCGAAGCCCCCTCCGCGCGCGCCTGCGTGCCCCCCTGGAGCGGGGCCAGGTTCGGCTCCACCTGGCGGGCATGGCCCGGGGGAGCTCCCGGAGAGCCACGGCGCCTCCGAGCGGCTCGGGGGGCCCTTCCCCGGAGATCCCACGCATCGACAACAAGCACGACGGAATTGTCTCGCAAAGTTCGGCCCCGGGGCGCCCTCGCCGGGCCTCCGGGACCGTAAAAACACAACGACTCGGGGCGAAACGCCGGTCCATGGGGAGGGGGGGTCGAGACGTCCGGGGACCGCGCATGGAACAAGTCACGGCATCGGATCTCTGGGTCCCCCCTCCTGGCTCTCTGCAGTCAGAACTGCTGAGGGGGGTGCACGATCGTGGGCGGCGGGCAAGGGGGGGAAGTGAGCAGGAGGAGACCTTCTCAGAAGGCGGCGGAGCTCTCAGGAGACCTCGCGCCTTCTGTTTACTGCCTCGTCGGGGAAGGCCTCGAAAACTTCTCAGAAGTCTTGGGGACTTCCGAGCCTCCTGAGAGGGCCTTCTCATTCTCACTTCCCCCCCCTCGCTCGCCGCCTAGATCAGGATGCAAACCCCGTGGACGCCCATGTCGAAGCTGCGCGAGCGAGGCTGGTCATCGAAAGTGGTCAAGCATGGACCGAAGAGGCAACAATGCAACAGAACCCTTGGGAATAATCCCCGTCCATATCATGGGTTTCGACTGCACGTGCCGTTCACCACAGAGCGATTGTTGCATGATTCGCGAAAGCGCCCGTTAATGCCCCCCCATTCGCCCCCCTCCCGGTAAAATCACGATTCGCGTTGGCGCCGTCTTGGTGTTGGCCATCCCTGTGCTGTTGGTAATGACTTTGTCGCCACTCTGCCTTCCTGGAGTCCTCCAACACGACTGGAACATGCGGATGAGGATCGGAGGTCACTCGGAACACAATGCAACGCCCAGAGCACTGCGCACCGCACACCTCGCCGGCGCCCTGCGGCCGAAATGAATTACTGCCGCCTGGAAGTGCGATTCACAAACCCTGACAGCCGCCACAGTCCACATCGAGATACTGGCGACTCGGAGTGGGGCACACGGCCAGAAGGCACCCCGTGGAAGCCCCAGGGAGGCCGCAACCCAGCCCCAAATCAAAGATGGAGACCTCGGAGAGTGGTCCACCGCCCAACCGACGGCTGAAAGCCACTCCCGTGTATGCACGGCGGTAACCTAGTAAGATAACAAGAAAGCATGGCATTGTATATCTTTATTCCCTACCTAGGCTCTGCCTAGAAAAGTTCTTACTCTCTTAGCTTAAAGGGGCCGAGCAGTGCTACACGCCCCGGGCGGTTCCCCGGGTCCCCTGGGAGCGGTTCCCCCCAGTCCCCTGGGAGCTTTAGCTTAGCTTTAGCTTAGCTGTAGCTTAGCTTTAGCTTAGCGGTTCGCTTAGCTTTTCGCTTAGCGTGTAGCTTAGCTTTAGCTTAGCTTTAGCTTAGCTTTAGCTTAGCTGTAGTTTAGCTTTAGCTTAGCTTTAGCTTAGCTTTAGCTTAGATGTAGCTTAGCTTTAGCTTAGCTGTTGCTCAGCTTTAGCTTAGCTTTAGCTTAGATTTAGCTTAGCTTTAGCTTAGCTTTAGCTTAGCGTTAGCTTAACTTTAGCTTAGCTGTGGCTTAGCTTTAGCTTAGCTTTAGCTTAGCTTTAGCTTAGCTTTATCTTAGCGTTACTGTTACTACTAATGCTGCTTTCCTAGGGGTTCCAACTCTTAGGTAGGGTCGCACTGGGATAATTTTATTTTTATATGCAGACACATCCGCAGACGACTGGACATACACGAATATTGCGCCCAAGGGACGTCGCTGCACCACAGTCTGCTCATGTGCCAGCTGTTGAAAACACGATGACTTGAGGTTTGCATGACCGCGACGTGAAGCATTCAAACTCACCTATTACATGTTTTTGAATCCGTTCGCACGCCAGGCCCTGGGTGAGACCCAGCTTGCACATACTCCCGAGAGGAGGAGGAGGAGGAGGAGGAGGAGGAGGAGGAGGAGGAGGAGGAGGAGGAGGAGGAGGGGGAGGAGGAGGAGGAGGGGGAGGAGGAGGAGGGGGAGGAGGAGGAGGAGGAGGAACACGAGGAAGGATAAAGATCAGGAGGGAAGGAGCCCTGCCATCCGACGTGGTGAAAACATGCCGCGTCGCGAAGCATCAAGACCTGCACCCCCTACGTGCCGTCCTTCTTCGGCATCTTCCCGGCCGGATCGATCGGCTGCGGCCCCCCGGGGCCAGAAACGGGGCGACAATGCCGGGGTGGGACAAAACAATACTTACCAGCCTCGAACGTATCCCTATCCCTAAGATTGACGCGCCAAAAAGCGATGACAATCTTAGGGATTCGCCCTCAACAAAGAAGGGAATCCCTAAGATTGGCATCGTGATGAGGAGGTGCCCAGCATAGGGATAGGGATATGTTCCAGGCTGGTGAAATACGACGCCTGGATCGCAGGGGACAAACAGAAAGGAGGGGAAGGGGAGGGCGTCCCTCGCTGGGGAGCCCCGCCCGTGGGATTGTGGGACCTCGCCCCGGTGGCCGCCTTGTGGACGGCACTCCGAGCGAACGCGACCACGCCCCGATCGTAAGCCATGACCTCGGAGGGAGAAGGAGATCAAAGGGATGGAAATAAGAGGTGAAGGGGGAGGGGGCAAGGGAGGGGTAGAGGGATGGATGGGGAGATGTTGCGAGGCAGCTTCTGCGAGGTCTTCGTAAGAACGGGCTATTGAGTCAGATCAAGGGGCCACTAAGCCAAATTGCGCTCGAGAAAATCCTAGACTAGACCGGGCCAAGCCAAATTAGGCTGGATATAAAACGAAATTTAAGGGAATAGACAGGTTGACGCCGGTTTCCGACAACGGATATACTAGCGCCGATCCTGAATTTACCTTAGGAGGCAACTACTGGGAGGTTCTCGTCGTAAAGATTAAGGCGGATGAAGTCCCATTTGGGAGCTGTTACGCCGGAGTGGGCCTCGGATTAAGCGGGATTAAACCGGATTAAGCGGGATTAAGCCGGACTTCGGATCAGGGCAAAATCAGAATTTGACCTCCGGGGGCGAAGGCAAAAGCCGTAAATGGGGCCCTGCAGGTCACCTTTAGGAGCCAGCAGGAGCCCAAAAGCAGCCCTGAAGTTGCGGATGCCATGGCAATGGGCACTCCAACCAGCCTATCATTGAATTAAACATGTGTTTAAACAGGTTTTGAAACACATGGTTTAAACAATGTTTTAATCATGTGTGCGACATGGTTAAGACATGTTTGAAACATCTTTTAGACATATGGCAAATATTCGGCAGCATGCTTCCTCTCCATTGATCGACTTCCACAACCCTGAAGGACCTTAGGGCCCGTTTCTTCGCCCGACCACCCGCCCGACTAGTAGGCAAAGCCTAGCTCGGGGGAGCGACAAAGGTTCAGGAGGCTGGCAGGACAGCCAGGACAGCATCTCCCCCCGACGCTTCCCAAATCCTCTTCCCGCCGTCCCTCCCCCGCTCCCTTCCCCCGCCCCCTCCCCCTCCCCACCTCAGCCTTCCCTGACCTGACCTTCTCTTCTTCTCAACCCTGAGGAGCTGAAGAGCAGGAGGAGGAGCAGGAGGAGGAGGAGGAGGAGGAGGAGGAGGAGGAGGAGGAGGAGGAGGAGGAGGAGGGAGGAGGGGGGAAGAGGAGGAGGAGGAGGACTCTGCCCCTCCCAGCACCACCCGCCCGAACAAAGTCCACACACACTTCTCCGACTAGTTTTTTCTCGGGATCGGTGCGGTCACTGGGTCTCGTCGGGCCTCGGCTCCTGGCATCCTCGGCTTCGGTGGCGCTGCGCTGCTGCGCCGCAGAGTGGTGGGAGCATGCTGCGCTGTGCTGCGATGCGCTACGGTGCTGCGATGTGCGAGAAGATACCGCGTTGCGTTGTGCTAAGATGTAATCATGGGCCAAACTGTGCTGCAATGTACTATCACATGCTGCGGTGTGCTACGAGCTGCTAGATTACGCGCTGGTGCGTCGAAACACGTAATTATCGACTGCGCGATCAGAGTGCATAATGTTATCTGCAAGGTACGCCGTAGTGTGTCAATGCTCTTTGCGCATGGTAAACCACCATTTTGATGCACATGGCATTGAATGCAAGTCGTGCAGTGCGGTGCAATTGGGGACATGGGATTACACATGCAACGCAATGGTACGTAATGTGCAGGTATAAGAGGATGCACCGCGATGTGCTAGGCATAGTAATGCTGATGCTGTGCTATGCTGTGCCACGGTGGCTGACATGATGTGCCGTGTCCCTGCTGAGATACGCAACGCCATTCTTTGTAATAGCGCACATCAGCTAGATCATCGAGGGCTGATTCGGGACAGGGGTGGATTGGATGGAAAGAGAAGGGGGGACGGAGATAGTAGCAACGAGGATGAAGAATGCATCGGTGCGGAAGAAGGATGCCGAATAAAGGCAGGGGGCGCAGGGCCTGGGCACCGCACCAAAGGAAGAGGGGAGATGAAGGGGAGAGAGAGAGAGAGAGAGAGAGAAACTAGACGAAGCAAACAACATGAAAAAAAATTGTTCGGGGATCCGCCAAGACTTCTTGGAGCGGCGCTGGATCCCCCCCCCTCCCCCCCCTCCCTGACGCGCGGAGCACGCCACGGGCGGCGCCGCCATGGGAGCTCCAGAGCCAGTCCAAGACATCCGCGCGGAACTCCGAACGTGTACGTGATCTGCCGTCCTACTTCTTCGAGAGAAAGACCAGCACCCGAATTGGATTACCACGTGGGGCTTGCTGTAGAACAGGACCAGGCCGTAAACGGATCTACTTGTTATCCGACCTTTTGCTGCGCCGAATGCAGCAGCCGCGTCGTCTACAGACGTATTCCTCCACCCCGAACGTGTCTATATATGTCACGGCATACAAGCTGTCTATAGACGCTTGTGGCAAGCAAGCGAGAAAGATGTGCGGCATAGGCCCAAGGTATTGTTCGTCTAGAAGCGGGTAGACTTGGCCCTCCAAGACCTGAGTCAGCTGCGACTTGACGCCGCTGGGGTCCGGCGCGGCGATGGTGAGGGGCACGGGGGCGAGCACGCACCCTGCTGGGTCCCTGGAGGCAGGCCGCCTGCGGGTGTTGAAGATCCACCGCCTCCTCTTCCTGCTCCTCCGCCTTCTCCTCCTCCTTATCCTCCATATCCTCCTCATCCTCCTCCCTCTCATCATAAACATCATCATCACCACCATTACAATCACCATCACCATCACCATCACCATCACCATCACCATCAGCATCAGCATCAGCATCAGCATCAGCATCAGCATCAGCATCAGCATCAGCATCACCACTATCACCATCACCATCACCACGATCATCAGTGTATCATCATCATTATCATTATCACCATCGTCAACACCATCACCACCAGCATGTTCATCGTCAATGTCATCACGAGTAGCAGCAACATCATCACAATCAGCATCGGCATCATGATGACCCTCATGACCATCGTCCCCATCATCATGACAATGACCATGACCATGATACTGATGATTACGATGATGAGTGTGATGGCGATGATGATGATGATCAACACCATCACCATCACCTTCACTAACATGATCATCATCGCCTAAATCATCAGTATCATCATCATCACCATCATAATCATCATCATCAACATCATCATCGTCATCACCATCATCATCACCATCACTATCATTATCATGTTCATCAGCAGCATCGTCGTCATCGTCGCTGTCGTCGCCGGCAGCAGCAGTACCAGCATCATCATCATCAACATCAGCAGCCGCATCATCAGGATCAGCATCAGCATCACCTTCGTCATCACGACCACCATCCATCATCATCATCCCTCGGCCCTTGTCCTCCCCTCTTCCCCCTCCTTCCCCGTCTTCCTGCACTCGTCTCCTTCGCATGCCCATCCTTCCGCAGCATTCGGCGGCCCTCCGGGTCCCATAGAGGACATACCTCGGGCAGACTTGACCAGAGATTCTGGAACTTCTGGGCACGGGCTTCCCAACCCCCACGACAGCCAGATGAGCGCACCAAGGGAGCTCCAAGGGCCCCGAGACGGCCCAAGGACAAGCGAAGACGAACCGAGATTGCCACAAAACGGCCCGAGGACAGCCCCAAGAGGGCCCACAAGATGCCGCATGATTCCCCAAGATGCTCCAATGAGTGCCCGATCTTGTGTATATCCGCCGATCCAGCGTGTGAACTAAGGAGCCTCAGCAAGAGCTTCAGCTCTGAGCCTAAGCAAGAACTTCAGCTCTGCTTGGGGGGGGTCGCCAGGGTGGCTCTGCAAGGGAAGGGGGAGAGGGGGGGGTCCTCCATCTGGCGGTTCCTTATAATTAATGACTTCCGCATCCCCACCACCCCCCAGGACTCTCCCCTTGGAACCCTCCCCGGATCACCCCCCGGGGAAGGGTGGGAGGGGGGGAGGGGCCGTTGCCCATCTGGCGTTTTCTGAATGATTTGCGCATCCCCAAAAGGTTCCGGGGGTCCCAAGGACCCCCCTCAGATCCTGATCTAGCCGCTACCGCCCCCAGGACCCTCCCCTCGGAACCCTCCCCGGACCCCCCTGGGACCGCTCCAGGCACCCCCCCAGAGGGCACGTCAGCTCCAAAAAGCGTCCCTGACGACTCCAAGAGCGCCCTCCCTCCCAAACAGACGACTCCAAGATCACCGAATCCGGAGCCCCCCCGGGTCGGCGGCACTGGACGGAGGCCATTACAATATACGATACATGTTTGCAAATGCCTCTTCGAATCTTCTCTTCGCGGGAAACTAGCCGTCGCTCGGACGTCCATTTCCCGTGCATCTTTCGATGTCGTGCGTGTTCGTTTTGCTCGATGGTCCAGGATGGTCCTCGATGGTTCTCGCCGAGAAAAGATGCACACGTCCGAGCGATACCAAAGGAAACCTCGGGTGACCCCCCTACATGAATTCGGTCGGCCCTGGGCGCTCTTATCAGGACGAGATTCGGGTATTCGGCTCCGGCGGCCCCTCCAGGCCATCCGAAGCCGCCAAAACGAGCCCAGGAGCGCTTCCCCCGGACGGTTCCGCGGAGCACCGAAAACGTGCCGGCTCGTCTCAGGACAGCCCTCAATCGGGGGCGAGCAAAAATTGATGAGCGATCCATGGATTTGGCACGCGGTCGCCAAATCCATGGGTCGGGGGAAGTGCCCTCCCCCAAATGCGTCCGGTGCCGCCTCGTTGGACGGCTGAAATCATCGATTTCCCATGGAAACGGGACCCGTGGCTAATGCACGCCCCCTGAATCCATGTTTGCGATCGCCTGACTCAAGGCCCCCAAGACGAAGGCTCCTATAAGTCCCCCAAGGCGCCCCCAGGACACCGAAATCGTCCGCTTCCTTTCGAAAACGCGCATTTCTATCAAATTCGTAGTTTTCGCATCGACGACGCCCAGGACGGCCCATGAGGCGACAGAGAAACGGCTCGAGAGGGCCCCAAGACGGCCCAAGAGGGCCCCAAGACGGACCCAGACACGCCCAAGACAGTCCAAGAGAGCCCCAACAGCGCCCCACGCGAATCCCAAACGCCCAAGGAGAGGGTTGTGGGCCACTATCTCGGGGTGTGTGGCTCCCATCCTGCCGCCAAGATCCTCACGGAGGCCTCCAGGACGCTGCCAAGAGGCCCCCAGAAGCTCCCGAGAGGCTTCCAAGAGGTCCCCAAGACGCCTGGGAGACGCCTCCAATAGGGCGGAACACTATGCACTGAAGCTGCGTGCAAAGCAGGGCGTGGTCATCTCCTCGAAGACGGCGCGCTGCGGGGCAGTGCAGACACTTAGAAGGCTGCTGCTGGAGGCTAGCGCGCAAATGCGCGCTGACATCCTTGTGGGGCGCGATCCGCGTGAACGGGATGCCCCCCCCGCGAGCGCGACCACTGAGGTCGGAGGTTGAGCTTCCCGTGGAGCGCGAACGGCATGAGGCGTGCGCCGATATGAGCGTGGGGAAGCCATGCGACATTGCTGTTGGGTGTCGCTCATGGACCCAATGACCCCTATGAGTCCTATGAGCTCTCTGGCCCATACGAGCCCAATAAGCCCTGTGAGCCCTACGAGCCCTGTCAAATGTATTAACCCTAGAAACACTGGGAGCCTTACGAACCCTGGAAACACTGGGAGCCTTACGAGCTCTACGAAGATTATGCGCCCTATCGGCCCAAAGCGCCCTATGACCCCGCCTAGCCATCTGAGCCCTGCGAGCCTTATGAGCCCTGCGAGCCCTATGAGCCTGTGTGCCCTATGAGCCCTATGAGCCCTATGAGTCCTATGGGCCCTCTGAGCCCTCCGAGCCATATGATCACCATGACCTCCATGAGCCCTGTGAGCCCAAGGGTACAAGATCAACGAGCCCTAAAAGCCCTATACTCCCTAGGAGCCCTTGGAGCCCTTGGAGCCCTAGGAGCCCTCTGACCCCTATGACCCCCCATGAGGCCTATGAGCCCTCTGAGCCCTGCGAGCCCTGTGACCCATACGATCCCTATGCACCTTACGAGCCCTATGAGCCCTTTGAACCCTATCAGCCCTATGACCCCCCATGCGCACAATGAGACCCATGACCCCGACGAGCCCCATGAGCCCTATGAACCCTACGAGCCTCATGATCCCCACGAGCCGCACTGGCTGGATTACCTTTCGTCCCAATTACGGCTCCGAGCCCCTGAGCCCCAATGACGGCGGAGAGCCCTCTGAGCACTCGGCGCCGCACGAGCCCGTGGACCCTATCAGCCCTGTGTGCGCCATGGCCCCGTAGCCGAAGCGCACCGCGGCAATGATGACTGGCCGTCCTGGCGCGCCTCTCTGGCGCTATGCGACCAAGATTCTGAAGGCGAAGCGAAGCGAGCAGGTAGAACCTTGTGTGTATGTATGTATGTATGTATGTATATATATATATATGTATATATATATATATGTATATATATATGTGTATAGAGATAGGTATCTATAACGTTCTTATCATGCAGCCCAAGACGGCCGAAGGGGCCCCCGTGATCGCTCCAAGACGACCCCAGAGGCCTCCTCGAGGGCCCAGAGACGGCCCAAGATGGCCCAAAGACGGCCCAATAACCCCCCCGGGCGGCCCAAGAGGCCCTTGGGAGGAACTCCGAGACCGCTCGCGCGCCCCTCAGAGCTTCCCACAAGCCCTCAAGCGGCACCAAGAATCCTCAACAGACCTCCAAGAAGCCCCCAGCGGCCCCAAAGAGGCCCCAGGGAGCCCCAAGGAGGCCCCCAATAAGCCGCCAAGAGGACTCTGAGAGGCATCCAAAGAGAAGCCCTGAGCCATCCAACACGCCTCTGACTCACGAACCAGGCACGGTGGCAGGATGAGCATTATGATAGAACTTCGGTGGGGGCCTGCTCCGTTGAATGTTGCCACGCAACTTCCCAGCCGCTGTTGGTCCCCCGATTAAGGTTCACGCGACAGCTTAGGGGACCACCGCCCACAACTTCCTCAGCCCCCCCGAGCACTCAAGCAACCATGATACAATGTGGACCGGCGGGGAGAGCGAAGCGATTGAATCACCCTTTCGGCTCCAATTCCCCTACCCCGCAATTCCCGTCCCCATCCCTACCCCCATCCCCTCACACCCCTGATGCAGCGCCCCAATCCCTCCCCTCCCTGACCCATTCCTCTCCCTCCATAGCCCCCTCCCGGGCCCCCCCTCGTCCCCCCTGTCCGCTCCCACCCGACCCTCATCTACTCCCCCTGAATCCGAACACGCTTCGATCGCTATGCAAGTGTGGCCCCAAGGACTGCATTGTACAATTAGAGGCAGCAGCATGGAATGGGGATTCCCCGCTGCAGTGTCCCGGCGGAGAGCCGCGTCATCGTCCTCCTTCTCCTCGCCATCCTCCTCCGCCTCCTCCTCCGCCTCCTCCTCCTCCTCCTCCTCCTCCTCCTCCTCCTCCTCCTCCTCCCCCTCGTCCTCCTCATCGGCCTCCCCCTCCTCCTTCGCAACCTCCTGGCCCTCCATACTCCTATCGAGCCATCGGGTCCCCTCCTCCATCGGCGCCTACTCCTGCAACCCCGTGGAACACAACCACCGCCGCATCTTTCTCCTCATCGTCGTCGTCGTCCTCCTCCTCCTGGCCAACCTGCCCATCCTCCTCTTCAGCTCTCTCACGTCCTCCTCTTCCTCTCCCTCCTCCTCCCCCTTCTTCTCCTCCTCCTCTTCCTCGTGATCCTCCCTCCCTCCCTCCTTCCTCCCTCCTCCCCTCCCTGCCTCCTCCCTCCCTCCCTCCTCCCTCCCTCCTCCCCTCCCTACTCTCCCCCTCCCTCCCTCCCTCCTCCCTCCGTCCTCCCTCCTCTGCAGGAGGACCGCAGGTGAGCGGACACCGAAAAGAGAATGTGCACACAAGGGCTATGTGACCCAAGATATGTGTGTGTACCCGAGGTGACATGTAACGCCCAGTTGCGGTTACGGTTGCGCGCGCGGGCGGGATAAAATGAATTGCCTGGTTGCGGTTGCGGTTGCGGTTGCGCGGCTGGGTTGAAATGTGTCGCCTGGTTGCGGTTGCCGTTGCGGTTGCGCGCGCGGGCGGGTTGAAATGAGTCGCCTGGTTGCGGTAGCGGTTGCGGTTGTGCGGGCGGGTTGAATTGTGCCGCCTGGTTGCGGTTGCAGTTACGCGGCCAGGTTGAAATATGTCGCCTGGTTGTGGTTGCGGTTGCGCGGGCAGGTTGAAATGTGTCGCCTGGTTGCGGTTGCGGTTGCGCGGGCAGGTTGCAATGTGTCGCCTGGGTCGGTTGCGGTTGCGGTGCGCGGGCGAGTTGAATAATGCCGCCTGTTTGCGGTTGCGGTTACGCGGCCAGGTTGAAATATGTCGCCTGGTTGTGGTTGCGGTTGCGGTTGCGCGCGCGGGCGGGTTGAAATGTGTCGCCTGGTTGCGGTTGCGGTTGCGCGCGCGGGCGGGTTGAAATGTCGCCCGATTGCGGTTGCCGTTGCGGTTGCGCGGGCGGGTTGAAATGTGTCGCCCGATTGCGGTTGCGGTTGCGGTTGCGCGGGCGGGTTGAAATGTGTCGCCCAGGTCGATTGAGGGTGCGGTTACGCGGGCGGGTTGAAATGTGTCGCCTGGTTGCGGTTGCGGTTGCGCGCGCGGGCGGGTTGAAATGTGTCGCCCAGTTGCGGTTGCGGTTGCAGTTGCGGTTGCGCGGGCGGGATGAAATGTGTCGCCCGGTTGCGGTTGCGGTTGCGCGCGGGCGGGTTGAAATGTGTCGCCAGGTTGCGGTAGCGGTAGCGGTTGCACGCCCGGGCGGGTTGAAATGTGTCGCCTGGTTGCGGTTGCGGTTGCGCGCGCGGGCGGGTTGAAATGAGTCGCCTTGTTGCGGTTGCGCTTTCCTGGGCGGTTTGAAATGTGTTGTCAGAAGTGCTCTCCTCAATCGAACAGTCAGTCAAACAATCAGTCACACTGGCTGGCACAGAATTTCACCAGGCTCCGCCGGGAAAAAATCTGCACGTCGAGCCATGCTGTAAGCCGCATTCGTTCCGCATGCACTTCTGGTCCTCATCCTCCTTCTCCGGCTGCCCTTCCTCCCTTTCCCCCTTCCTGCCCATCATCCCGTCGTCAGCAATCGTCACAACCATCGTTCATATTCAGTCATTCCCTCATAATCACCACCACCGTGATTATCATCACCACCACCATCTTTCCGATCCCATCCACCTTTTTCTCACCCACGCGTGTGAGTACCATAAATCTCCAAGAACCTCCGTGCTGCGACCGCGCGCAGCCGCTACGTAGGCCCCGGGCATCCCACCGCAACCAGCGGGAGGGACATAGGGGGAGGATGCTGGTGTACTTGTGTGGAGCCTCTGGGGGAGAGGGAACAAGAGAGCAGGTTCAGGGCACGGAGTAGGTTCTCTTCCCCTCCTCCTCCTCCTCCTCCTCCTCATCCTCCTCCACCACCCTCCCTCCCCCCCCTCCTCCCCTCCTGCTCGATCCCTGCTCGATCCCTGCTGCCCAGGCCTGGGATGAAACTCGACGTTGTGCTTCGCGCTGGGCCCGAAGGGGATCTGCCCGCACAGCAGCGGGCGCTTCTCCGCCGTCAGGAACGCCGTCAGCGTCCGCGCCGCGTGGGCCGACTCCACCTGGCCGCAGGAGGACGGAAAGAGGCGGGGGCATGAGATAGAGAGAGAGAGAGAGACAGAGATAGAGAGATGGAGAGATAGAGAGAAGGAGAGAGAGAGAGAGAGAGAGAGAAAAAAAAAAAGCGATAGAGAGATAAAAAGAGATAGAGAGAGGGAGCGAGAGAGGGAGGCAGACAGAGCGACGGGCGCGCAGGCAGGCGCGCGGACAGGCGGGCAAGCGGGCGGGCACGAACGCAGGAGAGCAGACAGAGCGTGTAGGCAGGCAGACGAGCATGCATGCAGGCAACATTTTCCTGGCAGGCAAGCAACATCTGCCTGCTGCGTACACGAAAGAGGGACCAGCCCCAGCGGGGGGCCCTCCTGCTCCTTCTGCTTGCCCGCCACCTCCTCCTCACGATCACCATCATCTTTTTCAGCATCAGCATCATCCACATCATGTTTAACAGCAGCTTCTTCATCATCATCATCATCATCATCATCATCATCATCATCATCATCATCATCATCATCATCATCATCATAATTATTATTATCATCATCATCATCATCATCAGCATCACCATCGTCATGATCATCAGCATCATCCTCATCACCAAAATCATCGTCGTCATCGACAGCACCAGCATCACAGATACACTCATCATCACCACCATCACCACCGCCATCGTCGAGGTCAATCTCATCACCACCACCATCACCATCACCATCATCAGCATCATCACCATCACCATCACCATCGTCATCAGCATCAGCAATATCATCAGCCTCATCACAATCATAGTCACCACCACCATCATCATGATCATACTCATGCACACCACCTCGATCACCATCATCATCATCATCATCATCATCGTCATCATCATCATCATCATCATCATCATCATCATCATCACAATCAACATCAGCATCATCATCACCATCAGCATCATCGTCATCAGCATCATCACTATCATCAACATCATCATCAGCACCATCACCATCATAACACCACCATCATCAGCACCACCACGATCATCATCAACATCATCATCATCATCATCATCATCATCATGATCAGCATCATCATCATCATCATCATCAAAATCATCAGCACCATCATCCTCATCATCATCAGTATCATGATCAGCATCAACATTCTTACCAGCATCAGCATCGTCACTATTATCATTCAGCATAGAATAAGCATCCTCATCGCCATCAGCATCATCGTCAGCATCATCATCAGCAACAGCAAAATCATCAATCCTTACCAACATCATTATCATCATTGTCCTCCTCGTACTACTCCTCCCCCTCCTCCTCCTCCTCCTCCTCCTCATCATCATCATCAGCAGCATCACCATCGGCATCGTCATTTTATCATCGCCAGCACCATCATCGGGAGCAGCATCGTCATCAGCATCATCACCATCGCCATACTCCCTGTCTCATCCCCATCTTCCTGATCGCCCTCTTCCTCGTCGCCCTCTTCCTCATCGCCATCCTCCTCTTCGCCCTTCTCCTCCTCCTCCTCCTCCTCCTCCTCTTCCTCCTCCTCCTCGTGTCTCGCGCTCGTCTCGCCCACGCCCACAATAGGATCGGAATACCTTCCGAATGCAACTCCCACGACGAACTCCGGGCGATTCCCGCGAGGCGCCACGCGCGGCCCAGGACGCCACGGAGTCCTGCCGGGGCTGCCCGGCTCCACAGGCCCCCAGCGCAGTGATGACTTCACGACGTGGGCCCCCGCTTGGATCGCCGCGGGGGGTTGTTAGGAGGATAGGGGGTTACAGGTGGATGCTGAGGTGGGTCATATATGCGGCCCAGCCTAGTTTAAGAGTTGACTGAGTGGGCGGAGCCCACTATAAGGGGAGTTACCTTTTCATACCGAAACCAAGCCACTGAAGGGCATTCGAAACCCATTCAGAACCTAAAACAAATCAGAGATAAGCCACCTGAGCATCCCCGCTTCTAACCCCCGCATCCCCTTAGCCTTAGCAACCCCCGCGGCGATCCGAGCAATAATCCCCCCCCCCGCCCCCCCACGGGATGGGCTCTTCATCCTGGGTCGTTTCTTGACGGCCCCGGCCGGGGTCCAGCAACGGGTCCCCGGAGGGCGAAAACCGCCCAAAACCTCCCGCCGCACGTTCTTCACATCTAGGAGGGGGTCTGGGGACGGCGTCGGGCCTGGGTCGCCTGGTGCTTCTGCTGACCCGGTCAAGTGCCGACCCAGGTCTTGCGGCCGCTGCAGGACCCTGCAAAATCCTCCAGGATCCTCCAGGATCCTGCGCCCTGGCCCGGGTCAGCGCGCTCCTGGCCCTGCGGGATCCTGCAAGAGCCGGCGCCCTGGCTGACCCCGCTTGCACGGACCCCCGCCTCAAGGCTCCCGACACCGATTCCTGGGGCGCGCCAGGCCCTCGGGCCCTGTTGCTTCGAGGGGCCCCGGCCCTCCGCGTGCGGTCTCTCGGGGAAAAGGGGAGTGGGAGGGGGCCCGTAGACTGTGACCCACTGAATCGAGCAGGCAGGACCAGTCAGTGCCGCGTCGGAAAATCGGATCGGGTCGGAAGGCACATCGGATCGGCCCGCATAGGCACGGAGTCGGGATCGAGTCGGGTCGGGCGCGCCAGGATGCAAGGCAACGCCATGCGAGCCTCGGGCCGCACCAAATCGTCTGCATATCGCCATGGACTTGGATCTGACCAGCCAAAACCGGCATCGAAGCGGATCGATCGGATCGACATATAAATCTCTCTCTCTATATATATATAGTATCCTGACTCGTTCCCGCGTGTGCGCCACGCTCCTCCCTGCCGCGAGCGCCTCCGGCCTGTAGGCCCCACGGGTCTTGGCAGCCAGAAAGGCCCCGCGGGCAGCGCTTTTGGGCGCACCCCCGGGGTAAGTCGATGCCTGTAGGCAGGGAGGGCCCGCGGGCGTGTCTTCAGGCGGAGGGGGGAGAGGAGGGGGGCCAGCTAGCAGCAGCAGCTCGGAGTACCTGGTGCACGCCCACGAGGTCGTGCAGGAGGTGCGGCGCCAGCCTCGGTGCCACGTCGCCGAGGCCGAGCTGGCCGTGGGAGTTGAGCCCCCAGCTGTACACTCGCCCGTCGGTGCCTACTGCGACCGAGTGGGCCCAGCCCGCGGAAGCCTCCTCGGCGGGGAGGCGGCAAACGACCAAGACCGGCGGGTGCTGTGTGTTTCTTGAGGTGGGGGGAGGGGATGCGACTTTCACAGATAGCTCCTTAGAAAAAACAATGCAGTCATGGCACTGCCAGATGGAACGCACAACTAAGCAGCGAATCCCCTTTTTTCAACATTAGGTCATCAATTTCTTAGGAACGGCGGGACCCCATTCTGGAAGCGTTCCCTCGTCGCTGTCTCTCGCTTTGAAAATGACCCCTACCTCTGCCGAAGCTTAAGGACCGGCGGATCGCGGCTCTTAACAAAAATAGGTGGCGCGAGCGGCGAGCGCAGCCCAAGGAACGGTCTTGCTTCTCCAAACTGAACGCGCGGATGAAGAGCACCTAGACGGCCCCCTGGCCAATTTTGAAGCTGCATCGATAGCACGGAACCGAGGGGCTCGCGCGAGGATCTGGAAATTGACTTGGCCACTATTCTTTCTGGGCGTACACGTGAACCTCAATCTGCGTCGCGCAAGGGACGGCACGGCCTTGTGTGCAAACTCGACGCGCGGACGACGACCGAAGGCCCCCTGACCACTCGTGGACCTGCAACGATCGCACAGGTGCCTGGGGACTCGCGCGAGGACGGGGTCGTGCAAGGGCCGACGACGACTGCCCCCTGCCGACTGCCAAACCAATGGAAACGCAAACAACTCCAGTGTTCAACCGTCTCCAGCCGCATCTGTCGCCCAGCCTGCCGCCTGCACCGTCTGCTGCGGACGCCCACTCTGGGAACGCTCCAGGGCGAACCCGCGGGAGCGTTTCTTGGCACGCCTGCGTCGTTCCGGGCCTGGGGCGGAGATCAGGCCTAAGCCCACGCACGAGGTCAGACTCGAGCTCGGACTCAAACCCAGGCCTTGCTCATGGGGCCCGCTCTGAATAGCCACAGTGGGGAAAAAGCTATTGTTTCACTCGCATTCTGGGCGTCAACATTGGGCCATACAATGAAAAACACACACACAACACACAAATGGCACGTCACCCCAAGATCCGTTTGAGGAAAACATCATGTTTCACTCGTGTTCTGGGCGTCGGCATGGGACCATACATTGCGAAACCAAACAAGGGTGACAGGTGTCAGACCGCAGACTGTGTGAGGCAAAAAACAGATTGGACCACACGAATTTTGGGCGTCAGCATGGATGGGAACATTCAGCGCGAAACAGCACAGCGGAGACATGTGTCACGCCGAAAACCATTTGAGAGAAACCGATTGGTTCACTCGTGGTGGGCGTCGGCATGGGACCATGCCATGTGAAACAACACACAAACGAAGCATATCACCCCGAAAAGCCGTGTGAAGAAAAACCATGGTTTCATACAAATTCTATGCGTCAGCGAGGGGACGTTGAATGTGAAACAACACAAGGGTGATACGTGTCACCCTGGAAACTGTGTGCGAAAAACAAATCGTTTCACTCGTAGTCTTGACTTCGACCAAGGACCATAAAACGTTACACAACACAAGGGTGACACGGGCCACCCCGAACAATTAAGCAGACTGCTTCGCTCGCATCCTGGGCGTCAACATGGGGCCATACAACGCGGAACAACACAATAATATCACCCCGAAAACCGTTTGAGAAAACAACAGTTATGCCACTCGCATGTCGGAACTCAACATGGGACCACACAATCAGAACAAAACGCAGGGGTGACACCCGTAATCCCGAAAACTCTGGAAAATCCTGATCTGCCAGTCGTAGTCTGGGTGTACGCATGGGACCATGCAACGTGAAACACCACGACAATGGCACGCGTCACCCCGAGATCCGCGTGAGAAAGACACTTGGTTCACTCGTAGCCGGGGCGTCGGCATGGGACCAAACACATTGAAACAACCCAAACGTGGCACGTGCCAGCCCGCAAACGTAAGAGAAAAACAACTTGTTTTACTCGTGCTTGTGGCGCCGATATCGGGCCATACAGTGCGGACCAACACAAGGGTGACACATGTCACCCAAAACACTGCCTACTGAAACAATTGTTTCACTCGTACCCGGGGCGTCGACATGAGACCAGAAAGCGTCAAACAACACAAGGGTGACACGTGCCACCACGAACACAGTATGAGAAAAACCTAATATTTCATTCGCACTCTGGGCGTCGACATGGGGCAATACAACGCGAACCAACACAGAGGCGACACGTGTCACCCGAAAATCGCGAGAGAAGAAACAATATTTGTCCACTCGTGTTGTGGTTGTTAACATGGGGCCATCGACTGCGAACCCACACACATGTGGCACGTGCCACCCAGAGAAACGTGTGATAAACAAATCGCTCCACCTGTACTCTGGACATTTACATAGGACCACATGATGTGGAACATATAGGCGTGGTCCGCATCATTCCGAAAACTGTGGGACACACCGATCGGTTCCCCCGTATGCTGGGAATCAGCATGCGAACATGGAATGCGAAACAGACTACAAGAAAGACACGTGCCACCCCGTAATCCACATGAGAAAAACAACACCATACATAATGAAACAACACAACGGTGATACGTGTCACCCTGCAAACCGTGTCAGCTACCACAGGTGTCTCACTCGCATTCTGAATGCCAACATGGAATGTGCAGCGCGAGCCAACCAAAGGGTGACGAATGTCACCAAGAACGCCGTACGATAACGAAAACAACGAGATCTTTAAATACCCATACAATGCGACAATTTACAAAGGTGACACGTGTCACCCCGAACATCGTGTAAGACAAATCAATTGGTTCACTCGCATGCTAGGCGTTTGCATGGGGCCACACCACGTGAAACAACACAATAGCGACTCATGTCACCCTGAGTACTGCGTGCGAGAAACAATGTGTGTCTCGTATACTGGGTGGAAACATGGGGAGATGACACGTGGAACGCCACAACACTGCCACGCGTCACACCGAAAGAACAATGCGAGAACAAACAATGATTTCACTCGCATTCTGGGCGACGACATGGGACCACACACAAACAAACATCATACGAATGGCAAGTGTCACCCCGCGAACCGTGAGAGAACAACCAATTGCTACACTCGTATTCTGGGCGCTGGCATGGGATCGCATAGCGTGGAACCACATGAGCATGAAACATGACCCCCCGAAAACCGCTTACGAAAAACAAATTGGTTCACGCGCCCTCCACTCGCCAAATTAGAGCCATACACTGTGAACCAAAGCATGGGTGTAACATGTCACTACAACAATCGTGTGAGAAAACCAACTGATTTACTCGCACTCTGGGCGTTAACATGGGACGATCACATGTGAACAATTCAGGGGTGACGCGCGTCACCTCAAACACCGCGTGAGAAAAAACAACAAAAAACACACTCATATTCTGGGAAACGGCATGGGTCCATATGATGCGAAAAAAACCTACGGGTGGTACGCATCCCCCCGAACACCGTGTGAGACCAACCACTTGGTTAACTCGTTTTCGTTGTGGTGGCATCTCGCCATACAACGTGAAACAACACAACGGTGGCACATGTCACCCCGAAAACCGTGTGGAGAAAAACAACGGTTTGACTGGTAGTCTTGGCTTCGGCATGGAACCACACAGCGTGAAACAACACGAAACTGACACGTGCCACCCCGAGACCCGTATGAGAAAAAACAATTGGCGTAGTCGCATTCGGGGCATCAACATAGAACGACCCAGCGTGAGACGAAAACAAAGGTGACACGCATCACCCAAAAAAAACGCCTAAGAAAGACTGTTTGTTTCACTCGCATTCTGGGCGTCGACGATGGGCCATGCAATGTGAAACAACACAGGGGTGACACGTGTGACCCTGGAAACCTTAAGAGAAACGCTCCTTGTGCGATTCGAATTCTGGGCGTCAACTTGGGACCACACAATGGAAGAAACACACCATTGACACGTGTTACCCCGAAACCGTTTGAGAACAAAACGCCACGCAGTGTGAAGCAACACAAAGGTGACACGTACTACCCTGGAAACCTAAAACGAAACACTATTTGTGTTACTCGCATTCTGGGCGTCAACATGGGACAATGCAATGCGAGCGAACCACAACATTGACACGTGTTACCCCGTAAACCGTTCGAGAACAACACGCAATACTCTACTCGTATTTTAAGTGTCGGAATGGGGCCATACAATGTGAAACAACACAGGGGTGACACGTGTCATCCCGAACACCGTGTGGAGAAACATAACGGTTTGACTTGGGCTCGCGCGTGAAACTGGCACTGAACGTGAAAATTTGTACAGTTGGCCACACGCGTGAGGGTCACACCGCATCGCGCGAGGAACCGAGAGGCCCTCATGAAGAACTGGGCCTTCACGTGGCAACTTTTCCCTTCGAATATACGCACGAAGGCCAATCCGCGTCGCCCAAGGAACCGAGGGGGCTTGCGGCTTGCGCGAGAAACTGGGCCTGAATGTGGTTACTTTACATGTGGGTGCGCGCCTGAACCTTACGCCGCGACGCGCAAGGCACTGAGGGGCTCGCGCGAGGAACTCGGCCTTGGCGCGACTAGATTTACATATGAACCTCAAGCCGAGCGCCGCAAGCAACGGACCAAACATAATCGCGGCACATCAACTTCGCAACGGCGCAAGGAATCTAGCCCCTGTTCGGGGCCACGTTCCTTAGATTATTCGCCCCGACCGGCGAACCAATTCCGCAGGCGCCATGACCGAAGGAACGCCGAGGGGCTCACTGGCAAATTTGCAAGGGAACGAAAGCAGGCCCAAGGAATTACAAATCCTCTTCCGAACCCGAACTTGAACTCATGTCAGCGCCATGACGGTAAGGGGGGGGGGTTAGAGAAGCCGCCAGGCAGTGCTAGGCTGGCTAGGCCACCTTGTTCTCCACGGTTGCCAAGCAATTAACGCCGCTTCGGCTTGCTGGAGCCGGCAGATTTCCCCGGAAGCGTTGTCCGAGTCGTTCCCAATACGTGGGTCGGACGGGTTTGCAGAGCTCCTAGGCCGCCTGGACCACGGCAACACAGTGAGGCCACTGCGATGTGTTAGAATTGCCTCCGATTACGTGCACAACAGGCATGACACGAGGGGCGGAAATGCGGGCGATTAGATCTCGGGAGGCTGTGCTTCTTTCTACTCCAGCAAGTGTACTCGCACGGAGGGGGTGGAGGCGGCGTGGTAAAGCCTGAAAGGAACACCTGCACTTCACGCCTCAAACCGGGGCTCATTTTCGCGCCTTTTCGGCTCAGCGCGGTATATGAGAAGGCGGCGAGAGGCGAGGGTGGGGTGGGGTGGGGGGGACATGCCATGCAAGTAAGTTCGACTGCGTCTGAAAAGAAGAAACGCCCTCCCGGTGATATGTTTTCTCTCCGCCCCTGGCATGCTGTCCTCGATCTCGGTTCTCTGGGGCCCGCTGTCGGGCCCAGGGGCCAGCAAGAGCGGACCCGGGACGCAAAACTACCATCGGGGAAATGGTCGGGAGCTCTACCCAGAATGCAAACACATACTCCTATACATATGTATATGCGTATATATATATATAGATATGCAAAGGCATTTCGCTTGCTTTGTTCTGCAGGGCAGTTGCTTCCAACGCCAGCGCCAAATCAAGCAATGCGAAAAGTAAGTTTTCGTTGGGGAGCTATACTTATACAAGCCCCTTGCCAAATCTCGATGGCGCACAGAGGGCACTTGGCGGTTCACCAAGGCGCTGTCACCAAAATCAATACCACCTACTTCAGCATTTCAATTCCAGGGCGTGTAGAGGCGGCACCGTCCAAACGTTAGTTTCGGGTCGGCGATATGACAGCAACAAGAAGGGCTTGGTGGGTGGGCAGGAGTGCGAAAAGAGGGTTGAGAGTGGAGGGAGGTCATGCTGACCTAGGCCTTAGAAGGCTCGGGGAGAGGGAGAGGCTGAGAGGAAAGCGCGCGGAGGGAACCAGGATAGAAAAGCGAAGTCGGGAGGACGCAAGAGAAGACGCGAAGGAGGAGCAGCAGCAGGAAGTTGATGAAGAACACGTCGGCAGAGTCTGGCGAACATTAATACGAACGGCATCCTCAGCAAGAAAGTGCGATAGAGAAGAGAAAGAGCGAGAGAGAGAAAGGTGAAGGGAAGGGAAGGAGAAACACACAGAGAGAGAGAGAGAGAGAGAGATGACGAGAGAGAGAGAGAGAACGACGAAAAACTACACAGAGGAAATACGTAAATAGAGAACGGAAATATCGATGGCCAGAAAGAACAAACCAATTGTCATGGGAAACAGCAAAGCGAAAGGAAAGACACGAGGCCGCGGACAAGGAAGAACAAGAGCACGAAGAAGGTCCCGTGGCCCTCGCCTGCTATTATTGAGAGGGGGGGGGAGGGGGAGGGAGGAGAAATGATAGGAAGGAGCGAGAGAGGGACGGGGAGGGATAATGGAGGAAAGCACATGGTAGGAAAGCTTCCGACCGCAGTTGTCCCCGTCCCGCCTTGATTAGCGAAGGGATGGAGTCTAGAAGCTGCGGCTTGTACGTCGGCTTCGACTTGCAGCCGATGCCAAGCTGCCCGCATGTGTTCGAGCCCCAGGAGATGCACTGCTGGTTCTCCTGCCCCGCCCCTCCCCTGCTTGCCCTCCCCTCCCCTCCCCTCTCCTCCGCCATCGTCCTTGCTGGCCCTTCCTCCCGCTCCCCTTTCCTGTCCTCCCCCCCCCCGAGTTCTCCCCGCCCCCACCTCCTCCTGATCGCTGTCCCTGCCCCCGTCTTCATCTCACTGCCACCGCGAACCCCATCCCATCCCGACGCCATCTCCTCCACCTCCCCGTCCCGCCGTCCAATATCCCCTTCCCCTCTCCTCCTCCCCCGCCCCTCCGCCCGCCCTGCCTGTCGCTCCCTCTCCCTTCCCCTCCCCCCCATCCACCCCCCCCTCCCTGGCCTCCACTTCACATCTCATCTCTTCTCTGTCATTCCCTCTCATCACCACCCGTTCCTCACCATCTCTCCCCGCCCTGGCGGTCCGTCACGGCGAGGACGTGGGCGTCGCCGCAGCTCACCTTCGTTCGACCCGCTGGAGACACCCCGCCTCGCCGCCTCTGCCCCTCTACAGTCGGACCTAGGCCAGAAGAACATCCTTCAATGGCATGAGGCACTCCGACGGCCAAAACAAACAGAATATCCAAGGGTAGATGTAGGGCCCGCGCCTTCTAAGGAGCGGCCTCCTTCTAAGAAGCATTCCCCCCCTCCCCCTACCCCTCTGTGTGCGCCGCCAACATGGGCAATGGTCACTCCGTAGATGTTTCATGCCGCGCCACCTTCACTACCCGGAACTTCGTCACCAAAGGCGCGAACCGGGGGACGGACTCCACCTGCTCGAAAAGCCCAGTCTCGCCATTAAATCCGCGTCCCCACGAGAAGACGTCGCCCTCCTTCGCGGTCGCGAGAGGCAAGGAGCAGGCGGGATGGAGAGAGGGAGGCAATGACGATCTAATCGGACCCCCATTGCGTAACGACAAAATCACGACGGGGGCCTTCGGGGGCCCTCTTCGAGCCTTATTACAACATGGTCAAAAAACGACCCAGGACGGAAAGCTGGTCCCTGGGAAGGAGTCCTGGCCTCTGCAGGGGCCACGTCGTGAAAAAAAAAACACGGCGTCGGGGGTATGAGGTTGGCTGCGCGTCAGCAAAAGTATGGTGTTGTGCGAGCGAGAGACGGGGGGAATGAGAGGGCGAGTTGCGAGATGGGAGAGAAGGTGCGCGAGGTGGAGCGTGGAAAGAGGAGAAGGGAGCAAGGATGCATCTGGGACGCCGGAGGGAAGAGGAAGACAGGGAAGGGATGGGCGAGAGGTGAGGGCGGGAGGGTGGGAGGCAAGCGGAGAAGAGGGGAATTGAGGGGAGGGATAATAACAAATGTTATCAGACGGAGAAGACGAAAGCGTACAAGGCAGAAGAGGGAGAAGGGAGGTAAGAGGAGGAGGAGGACGAGGAGGAGAAGGATCTCAGCCGACCGAACACACAGAAGACCGAACGGCACTCCGCGACGGCATCCGAGGGGCTCGGGGCCCGAGTCGCGTCGGAGGGGGGGGGAGGAGGGAGGAGAGGTGGGGAAGCGAGGGAAGAGGGAGGAGGGAACATGGATGAGGGAAGGAGGGGGGGGGGGGCGGGATAAGGCGGGAGGGCGGCGGCAGACGCCCTCCTGCGTGATGGCGATGGAATAATGGGGCCCCGCGGCGATGTGCCTGACGCTCCGGCCCTGCAGCGCGGCCAGTGGTCTGAACTCCTCCGCGCGCGATGCCCGGACCTGTCTCTGGCATGGCCCTCCTCCTCCTCCTCCTCGTCCTCGTCCTCGTCCTCCTCCTCCTCCTCCTCCTCCTCCTCCTCTCCCTCCCCCTCCCCCTGCCCCTGCCCCTCCCCCTCGTCGTCCTCCTCCTCCTCCTCCTCCTCCTCCTCCTCCTCCTCCGCGGGCCCAGGAAGAGTCTGCTCAACAGCACGGCGCCTCCATGGGTCCCCTCTGATGATTTTAAGACGCTTAAGGGGCGAACGAGGCCTGCGTAATTACGGAAGTCGGGAGAGTGCGGTTTGGGCGTGCGTAAGGCATGTAGCTTAGCATATCTGCATGTATATATATATATATATATGTGAGAGAGAGAGAGAGAGAGAGAGAGAGAGAGAGAGCGCGCGTGATCCACCGCCGATCTACTATGGAAATTTCCCCCCCCCCCCCCCCCTCTTCCTCTGGAACCCAGGGGACTCACCCTCCCCCTCCAAAAATCCCCCCCCCTGCCGACCCCCCCCCCCCCCCTCCCTCCCAGCAAAACCCCCCCCTCCCCTAAGCCCCCCCCCTCCGGAAAACCGGGGGGGCGTCACTACAGGTTCGAATCCCTCCCTCCCCCCCCCTCCCCCTCTGGAAAACGGGGGGGGGTCACTACCGGTTCGAACCCCCCCACCCCACCCCACCACCATTCTCCCCACTTTCACCACGGTCCCCACCACTGTCCCACTGTCCCCACTGTGCCCAACACTGTCCCACTGTACCCGCCGCTGTCCCCCTGTGCTGTCCCACCGTCCCCGAACACTGGGGGGGGGGTTCGAACCGGTAGTGACCCCCCCTCTTTTCATGATGGACTGGGGGGGGGGGGAGGGGTTCGAACCGGTAGTGCCCCCCCCCCGGTTTTTCGAGGGGGGGGAGGGGGGGGTTCGAACCGGTAGTAACCCCCCCTCCAGTTTTCCGCCAGCAGAGGTAGAACACGCTCTTTCATACACACACACATATATATACACATCTATACACACTCATGCTTCTGAGCATGCCAGCATGCCTGAAGCTCAGGGCGGTCGTTTCGGATGCGGTCTGTTGGATACGTATTGTCGTTCTGGGCGTGCTTCAAAGTGGTGGAGGACGAAAGGGAAACAAATCCCACTCATCCTCTTTCTGAATTTCGAGTCCGCCGTAATTACTCTGGGAGAGCTCGTGAACAGGGCGGGATTATCAGCTCCCGCCACACAGGTCAAGCTCATGTGATGCCGATGCTCGCCCTACCTTGCCATCGCTGCTCCCGCCATACAAGCAAGGGTAGCGATTTCGGTACGTGTCACCCCTCTGATCCCCCCTTCCCAAAACCGACTCATTCCGAGTCCCCGTGTGACGGTCCCGGGACCTGGCGAGGGCCCCCAAAAGCAGAAAACGACCACAAGCCTGTATCATGGATAGAGGGCCCCCAAAGGCCGCAATGGAAGACCGCCCCACGAAAACGGCGAGAGCCCCCACGAAAACGGCGAGGGCCCCCAAAGACCGCAATGGAAGAGTTCCAGCATAGCAAACCATCACAACACAAGCCCTGGGCCTTGGTATTTCTGCTGCGTGTGTTGCGCCACATCGATCTGAGAGGGCCCTGGGGCCCGACACCGGGCGAAAACGCCGGGGTCGAAACAAATACAGCGCCCGGGTCTGAGGGCAGCTCCCCCTCGTTGTCCACGCGCAGTAGGTTTTGCGAGCTGCGTGTAGCCGCGGCGACGAGGGGCCACCCGAAGGCCGACTGCACTGCTGTCTCAAGAAGCCCTCGAGGCGCAGCTGCTGGGAAGCATCCCGAAACCGAACAAAAACCATATCTCGAACGTGTCTCTCTCCCTGGGCATATCACCCCCCGTCTCGAGATCTGACAGAACACCCTTTCTCAAAATGCCGTTCATCGAAAGCTGCCAAGGCCACTCCACCTGCCAATGGCACCGCATTCCGAGTGGGCCTGGGCAGAAAAACAAATCGACGTCCAGAAACTACCGATGTATCGGGTAAAACACACGACGATTATAGACACCGACGGGGGACTGCACTGGCACACTCGAATACCAATGCTGAGTGAACCCGTGCAACAAGCCCTCAATCGACTTGTCTGGGGGGTTGTTCTGTCAATGCTGTGCCGCCAAAACATGTCCATATCCACTGCCGTGGGGTCGTGTCCCAGGGACTCGGGGGCCTGGAATACGGATACCTGCCCGCCCATGCAGTCGGGCAGAGCAGAGATCCAGATCCACCACTCCTCGAGATCTCCGGGACGCGACTCCCAAGCGACGGATGTGGACACATTCTGGCGGTGGAACTGCCCGGCCCTCCCCCAGACCTGGAGAGCCCTTGGCCCCCATAGCGCTCTCCTCTCGTTTGCGCCCGCTGGGGGTGGAACCCGCGGCGCCTCCCGCGACCCCGGGGGCAGGGGCCCCGGAGATGCACTGATTGCCTGTCATGGCAGCTGGGGGCTCCGGCCCGCAAGCGGCCGCAGCGTGCCCCGAGGGCGAGGAGGCTGTGCCAGTTGTTCCCTCGGTTCAACCGCGGCTTGCAGGAGTCCCACTGTGCTGCACGGGGGGCCCGGGGTCAGGGGGCGGAGGCGCTGAGGCGCCAAAGCCCCGCCAGGATCTCCTTGTATAGTCAAGGGGCCGCACACAACGGACGTGGCCGCAAGAAACCCACGCGAGGAACCCAGCCCTGAAAGTCCGCAAGGGCGGAATGCAGGCGGGAGGAAACCCAAACACCCTGAACGCAGCTCCTTCAACGGCCGCGGAAGTCACCGCGCAGCGCGCGGAGCGAAGAAGCCCAAGGCACCCTGACGAAAAGCATCTGGTCCCTGGGTGCGCGTCCTTAATGTATAGAGCTCTTGGGAGGTCCAGCGAGCCAAATGAGTGGGATGAGGCCAAATCCGCTCAAAATCGGTCCCCGGACCCCTCTAGGGTCCATCTGGTTCAGCTATTGCTTCCCTGCATCAGTTTTTGACGGTCCCGGGGCCCGAAGACGGCCCCCAGCACCCGAGAAAAGCAGACCAAACCTCTCCGATCTGAGAACCTCGGACCTCGCACCCCTCCCCGCCCGCCGGAACCAATGCAGGGCCACCTCAGACCTCCTAGCCGACTCCAACTTGGGAGCTCCGGCGAGCACGGTCCTCCACGTTCGCGGCCCCGCCGTGCCCCGTGTTGCCGTACTCCGCGGTGCCCCGGCTCCACACGGCGCCCTCGTGGGTGAGCGCGAGCAGGTGCTGGGCCCCGATGGCGATCTCGCGGAGGCTCCTCCGAGAGCCCCGGATAGCCGACGAGTGGGCGCTACTCCATGGAGGGGGCAATACCTATGGGAGGCGGGGGGAGAAAACGTGCACCCTTCGTGCCCCTTTTGGGACCCTTCGGGGCCCGTCCGGGGCCTCTTTGGGGCTTGGGGGGCACGAAAGGGCCCCCCCGCCCCACCCCAGTTACGGCCCGTCGACGCGGAGGACGAGGTCGAGGGCGACGAGGGGAGCACGAGGAGGGGGGAGAGGAGAGAGAGCGAGGGGGAGGGCGAGGAGGGGAGGGGCGAGGAGTGGAGAGACAACTGTTCCCAGACGAGAGCCTAGGGGGGGGGGGGAGGGCCACCCCCATCACTAAGGACCCTCCTCGGTTATCGCCCCCCAATAAAGCAACGCCCGACGACGAGATGCTTCTTTCAGCCTGGGCGCTTTTCCGCGACGTCGGCCCTCGGGTGCCATTTCTGGGGCCAACGAGCTCCGAGAGAACGCACAAGGCCCAGTCCAGGTTCTTGATTTTCTCAAACGCAATCTGGAGTCCACGACAGTTGACGTTCTCCTTAAGCTTTCGGCTGGGTGTAGTTACGCAGGCTGCGGGTGCAGCCTCTGTAGCAGGAAGCTGCGAGGCCCAGTGGGCGTCCGACAGCAGCCCAGCATCCAGCAACGTCGACTCAGGCAGAAGCGTGACCACTGGAGTGGAGACGCGGGGCGGGAGAGAGAGGGTAGGTCTGTAGCACCAGCGTTCCCAACGCCGCCTCGTGCGCCCAGGGCCTCCTGGTGGAGATCGGCATGCGACCACCAGATGGCAAACGCAGGAGGGGGGGCCCTCCCGGGGAGGGGGCGAGCGCGGCCCTCGGGCAGGAATCCTCATCCGAACTGCACACGCGGCC